TTTTTATATTTTTTGAAATAATAAAGCATAATGTGCCAAAAATGGTATTTTCTTCCATCTTCAATATTAAAATGGCTGCACAAAATTTTACCAATTTTGATAAGTTTTTTAAAAAATACACACTGATATGACAGTTGTCACAATTCAGTCTAACAAAATTGTTTTGAATGCATTTAGAGACAGCTAAGCACTACTAGAGCGATTGTGTGGAAAAAATCAAATTTTTTGGGTAACCCAGTGTTTTACAGCCCATGAGCACCTTCTTGTTGGTGTTAATAATGATGCTTTGTATGATGGTTTAACACTTAATATATACCAAAGGTACTATTCTAAAGGCTTTGTGTGTACTAATTCAATCCTCCCCAAATCCACATGAGGTTAAATCTATTATTATCCCTATATAACTAATGAGGAAATTGAAGCACAGGCCACCTGAATCACTTGATCAAGTGTAGAGTCATAGCTGTAATATAGAGGTTAGACTTCTAAAAACACACTCTTAATTATGAGGGATTAGAATTCAAGAAAGTACTTGCTTATCGCGCCTTCGTTTGGGGCAGGTGCTATCACAGTACGCGCGCTGCTCCGTGAGCGCGGAGCGGCGGGGCCCCGTGCTGGGAGGAGGAGGCGTTTTCACGCTCACGCCTCTGCACTTCGCTAACGTCCGAGAATGCTGGTTATTAGTCTGTGCTCCATTTTCTAAGATGTTTATTAATGAAATTGAATTCCTGTGGTCCAGAAGAGAATTCTTGAATGATGCCTTCAGATCTTTTTTTCCATCTTGGCTTTCTGAGCGATAACCAGCTTTTTCATTGGTTTCCCATTGAGCATGACTTGTTCGGTGATGATAACAACAGTATAGGCCCAAATTATTATATTTTGTCCTTCATTTACCAGGACATTTTCTTCTAATCTGATAATAGGAATAAATAGAACTCCACATCTGAAAACCAATGCCTGAAAGGTGGCCGTTTAGCAGCAATGCTCTATTTAGCCTTTTGTTTCCAAGTCACAGAACATGAATAAAAGAACTTTTGTTAGTTTATTCTTGATAAAAATTTCTTTGGAATAAAACAATTAGTGTGAGAAATAATTGGTGAAAGAATGGTTGAACATAACAACTTATTCATTCCTTTCCCGCTGACAGATAAATGTTACCTTCAAATGAAACCAGCAAAGTTTATTATTTGGAATAAAACAATGAACAAGGATCTAATATAAAGAATCCTAAAATTAAGCAAAAGCAGTCATTATTTTATAAAGAGATAATTTAGTTTTGCCGTGTACTTTCTTCTTTTAATGGGGATGATGTATTTAAATTTTAAGACTTCCCAAACAAAGTGGAAACAATAGGAAAAAAGGTGAACTAAAATATCTAAATGTTGTTCTGTGTTTATAGAATTTTAGATCCAAAGTGTAAGTTTTGCTGCTAACCAAACTTTCTACAGTTCTTTAGAGGGAAACAATATGTTTTCTAGGGGTTTTTTTGAAGCACAATTTCACCTTATCCATCAAGTGATTAATGTACATGACTAATATTTTTGTTGTGAACAGAATGAATGAGAAAGTTTTCCTCTGAATTTTATGAAGCATTCTATCATTCTGCTTTCCTTATGAAAGAATATGTAGCTAAAATTTGGGTGTTTTTTAAGAAGGTAATGAAAGAACTAACCAATTATTTTGAAACGTAAGATGTGGTGAGATTTGGGGAAATATACATGTATTCTGAAGTGCCCCCCCTGCCCTGAAGTATATCTGCACAGCAGGCACAGCTATCTAGAATTTATCCCATCACTAGTATAGCTTGCCGTTCCATCAGTTGAATACTTTGAATTAGGAAAGCATTCTTGTTCTCATTCTCTCAGATCTACACATTTCACCTAAATGTACTTCCTTGAATGTATGTTTTTTTAAATGTAAAAAACTGTCCCCTGTCATTGCTCTATTCCAATTTTGAATGTTTGTGATACTCATCACTGAAAAAATTTTTTTGTCATACTGTCATTTAATTAACTCAGTTGATGCATATTATTTTAGAGCCTGCTAAATAAATGCCAGGTACTCTTTTGGGTGCTGAGGATGTGGCAACAGGTGAAACAAACAAAAATTCTGCCCTGGAGGAATTTTATGTCCTGGCTGGGGACAAGGTCCTGTTTGTTTCTTAACTGCTGTCATTTGCAGCATGACAAAGCACATGTGGTGTTTTTATAGCAAGCATTTTAAGCTCCTGAAGCTGCTTTTAGAATAATTTGCTTTATAGAAATAGCCTGTAAAAAATTGAAGCAGCAGAAAGGTTTTTTGTTTTTTCATAACCGTTGATGATCAAACTGAGGGTCAAGCTGTGTTTGGTAAAAGTTTCATTGGACTAGTAACCAATCTCGTGGTATTGAGATTAGTTTTATATCTTAGTGTAAACGTATCCTTTAAGTATGTATGTAAATAGTCCTTACTGGGTTGTTGGTATTAAATTTTGGGAAGGCAGAAGTTGCCTTCTCTCTGCTCCTCACAGATCTAACCTGGTGGCTCTTGTGTATGAAGCAGAGGGGTGCTGGACAGGAGGCTGAGTTTGTGTTTGGGACTCGCCTTACCCTCGCATGCCCTTTCTAGAGGCAGGAGTGTGTGCTAGCTAGAAGTGCAAGCTTTGGATTCTGGCTGTCCACTCGTGTTTTAAACCTTAGCTCTGTCATCTGCTCCCTTTAGAAGGAGGGGCAAGTTAACCCTAGGCCTCAGGTTCTCTCATCATAATATGGGAAGGTAATATCCTCTACCACATTAGCTTAGTAGGACTAAATGAGGTTATATGTTAAGAGCATTTTATCCTGTCTGGTCCACAGTAAGAGATCAGTAAAGGTTAAAGATTATTATTGTTGCTGATCATCACTGATACACTTCTAGTATTACTGTCAGTGGTGATCAGTACATTTAAAGACATTAAACTGTGCATGCCTTGAAAGTGAAACTGAGCAAAAACACTTTATGTTAACCCAGGACTCTTCAGGCCTGCCTTTTGGAGAGGGCCTCTGAGCAGAACTTGTCTTCAATACGTGTTCTGATAAAAATAGGTTTGTTTTCTTACCCCTTCTGTTCAGTGAAGTTTAACAAAGTTTTACAACTTTCTAGTCTGTGAATATGAGATAAATATTAGAGATAAATATTATTTTGCGGAGGATCCCATGGCATTACTAATCATTTTAGTAATAACCCCTGTATCTAATAGGTACTTTGTATCAAATATACAAATCTCAACCGGTGACACTGTTTTCTAAAATTCTTTTAGAATACTTTTTGTGTAGCTTATGGGACTGTATCTATGTTAATTAGAAAAGGCAGTGATAGTTTGCTAGGTTTATTGTTTTTCCAGCTCCTCAATTTATTGCTATAATTGATTCTGATGTTGGAAGAGTGAACATTGTCGTCCAAATGTTCTTTTTAAATTTTCATTTCAGTGGTCTGGGATAAAATTCTAGATATTGACAGGGAAGACAATAAAATAGTTTTTCACTTGGTGACAAATGAAGTTGTATGATTGTGGCATTCATTCTAAAGAATCATATGTGTGATTCAGAAATTAAAAAATCTGAACTCAAATGCCTTCAAACGTGTTTCTCTGGTACACAGTTAGCTAGGTACTCCATGCTAGCTAAAAAGCGGGTAAACCGCTGTGTTTTTAAAGTATCATGTGATAACTTTCTTCTTGTGCACGTCTAATGGGGAGCTTTGACCTCGGAAGATGCGCCCCAGCAGTAATGCTGCCGAGGCTGCTGTCCAGCACGGCCCCTCCTGGCTTCCCCCTCTCCCTTCCCACCTCCGGGGGGGCCCCCTCTTACCTTTCACATAGGACCAACCTCTTCTTCCACATAATTTTCAAACATTCATGAACTGTGTCCTGTGCAAGGTGTGATTTATAACCCGGTAGGAGGAGACAGTACAAAACTAGCCTAATAATACACAAAAGTGCAGTTCTTTCTCTGGGGCGTATGGTAAATTTTAGGAAAATGTTACTTTTGATACTCAGAAATGTGAGAATGTTTTCTTGAATTATAAAAGCAATGCAATTGAAGTTTGCTCTGAAAATTTTTGTCTTTATTCTTAATTCAGAAGGTTTCAGTTGTTTTCATAGATTCTTGAGTTGTGAGAGCTAAAAGGGACCTTAGAGATAATGTTTGAAGTGCTTCACTTTAGAAAGTCATGTGCCAAAAAAAACAAAAAAAGGTCACAACCCCTGCCACCCTCCTGAGGAAAAGAAAGAAAGTCACTTGACAAAGGCTGCATAGTATATGAAAAGACTGACGTATCCCTGTTTCCCTTACACGTGGTTCTTACGCTGCGGTATTACCGTGCTGTTTTTACCTCACTTCCCCTTTTTAGTTTATTCTTCATTTATCCAATCAGGCCTTTGTCTCTTTTAGATTCTCTTGTTATTTTTCAGTGATATTTTTCTCTGCTTCTGCTGTTTTCTGTACTCTGTGTCTATGCTTTCCAATATGGTAGCCATTAGTCACAAGTGGCTATTTAAATGAATTAAAATTAATTAAAAAAAAATTAAAGTTCCCTTTCTTAGTTTCAGTAGCCACATTTGAAGTTCTTTCTACATGAACATGTAGCTAGTGGTTACTTCCTGTATAATCATGGGACATTAGATTGTAAACTTTTTGAGGGCAAGGGACCATTTATGTTGGTATTAAGAAAATAAAATGTAGGCTCTTGATAAATGTTTTAGCGTTGTGAATGAACACATACCCGTACCACCACTCTTTAGTTCCTTGCCAAATTTTTTTAAATTCTCCTTTTCTTTTTGAACCATTTTATGGTAGAAGAGCCACCTGCAGTTTGATGTTTCCCATTTACATATTAAATACTGCTTGACGTACCATAAACAGGAATCTTGCAGATTTACGGTTATAGAGCTCTGTTGCTACGTGTTCCTTGTATAGCCAGTCACTGAGATGGTGTGTATTTTAAATGCTTATGTGTTCTTTGTTTTTGTTTTGTAATTTAAGCTATGACGGCGATTCCTTGATGATCGTTCCTTGGCATGAGCGTAAACACCGAGATAGAGACTGGTGCGAGGAGGCTGCGTGCAGGTAGGAGTGAGCCGGCACGGGGAGCTTCCTTTCACTGGCGGACGGGCGGGGAGAGGGCTCTGTGAAGGTGGGGTGTGCTGTGGGACCCCTTTCTTGATGGGGGGGGGTCTTGATTTAAATAGTTTGAGTGAAGTTTTTTTTAAAAAAACCTTGACTCAGTTAAGTTAAAATAGTTTTAATGGGAAAAATATTAAATACTACAAAGGAATTATTCTAAAAATGACCCTTATACAATAACTCTTTTGAGGTATTTGCTTTCGGTCTTTGACATATACAGACATTTTTCATAGTTGTTATTATGCTATGCATGCAGTGTTGTTCCTGGTCCAGTCTCATGTTTATACGGTTTCGCCTTGGAAAGCCTTGGAGTGTGGGGGCATCTGGTTCTGCGGGACGGGGCGGGGCTGGGATGCGGGGCTGACAGGCCTTGTCAGGGGCTTTTGAATCCTCTTGTCTCCCGGTCCTTAAAGTCAATACTCCTTCGCCAACTCCCCTTGCATATCTTCCCGATGTGAGGTCAGAGGGTTATTTTTTGGACTCATGAGTTGAGCCAGAGAACCTCCAGATTCCTCGACATTGGGCATAGCCTAGTGTGGGGGTGGAGGATTGGGGTGAACATCTGGGCACTTAGTGAGAATTTATATACTGAGTGTTGAAACTCTGTTTAAAAAACTTGTTTTTATGAAAACAAAGCTTGTTTTCAAAAAAGCAAAAACCAAAACCTGTAGTCTTTTGTTCCCCTTCCTTTATATTCTGCTCACCAGAAGCAACTACTTTCAGTTCTTTCAGATGATTATTTTGGCATTTACTCCATATCTCTGAATAACATAATTGTAGAGCTATTTTTGGATTTTTAAATTCCGGCTATTATCTGTGAACATCCTAGAATACAAAATAATAGTTTAATTTATTTTCACTCTGTGTACCCTGTTCTTCCTTGAGTGTTTGCAGCCCCCCTCCTACCCCCGACTCCCCTTTGAAAATATTTTAGCGCCATTTCTGGGGAGTTTCAGGAGAAAGTGGAGCTTCACGCATGGTATTTATGAGCCACATTTAATAGAAGCCTTTATTTAGCAATTGTGATGAGAGTTTAAAGGGATAGATGACTCGAAAATGGTGGGAGGTTGATGCGGTGGATGTGGTTGTGGTGAAGGGAGCGGTGATGCCGTTGCCCACAGTTCTCTCAGCGCGGGATGGGCTTTTGGACAGCGCAGCCTGGCAGGGCTCTGCCCCGGTCACTTGGTGCTTCCCAGCTGTCCTTAGCTGGTGCCGCTTAGCCTGCTAGCAGGCAGAGAAGGCATGAGAGCGTTTCACCTCAGGCTGAGCACCGCGAGCTGAAACGCGAGTCACACTTGCTGTGCTGGAACTCCCAAGACTATCAACGTGAAAAGCCAGGACAAATTTGACGGAGGAAAGATGCCTGTGAAGACGATACAGAATTTCAGTAGGACAGGCCATCTCTTGTGCTTCGTTATTTCACGAGCGTCTGTGCTCTGCTAGATTCATGCTCACTGAAGGGAGAAAGCCTGGCGCAGCCCTGGACTCCAGCAGGGGGTTGCCCAGGGGAAGGAGGCTGCTGCCGGGTCTCCAGTGTCCTGAGTGCTGCGGAGGGGAGGCCGCCCGGCCCGGGAGCCTGGGACAGGGATGCCTGTGCAGGTGGGGGCTGCGGAGAGCTCCTTGGGGCGCACTGTGAAAGCTGAGGTGGGAAGGACGGCGGACTCTGCTTGGGGAGGGGAGGCTGGCCAGCGGGAGCAGGGAGCGTTCCAGCCGCAGGAGGGGCTCAGGGCGAGGCCCGCTTTGGGGCCTGCGAATCAGACTCACTGTCGAGGGCTGCAGAGCCAGAGCCAGGTGGCGCGCCAGGACGACTACAGTAGATTGTAAGCCTTAAAGGTAGGCTGGGGGATGGCACATTGGGTTTCCTTGTCGAAACCGCCAGCGGTGTGTCCCCTGAAGTTAGCATGGACTTGACTTTGATCTTGAGGCACTGGAAGGGCCCGTGAAACATCTGCAGAGCAGATGGAAGAGTTTGGAGCCTCTGAGTGAAGTCCATGTTAGGGGTAAAAATAGGGCAGTCGTTGTGATGTCTGTGCTGATTTGTATCTTGTAGTCAGAGTGGGGCCCAGAGAGAGTGTGGGCCGAGGAGACAGCAGGACTAAGGTGTGCGAGAGCGGCTGTTAGGTGGTGTGCTAGGGGAGGGTCTCCCAGCCCAGGCGGCTGAACAGGAGCTGCCGAAGGTCAGAGGCGTCAGGCAGTGTAGCGCACTGGGCTGGAAGAAAAGCATGCTTCAGAAGGAGAAGGTGGCCGATCTCTCGGGTAGTGCCAGAGGGAGGGAAGGCCTGGAAATGCCATCAAAGGCACTCCCAGTTGCCTGTGGGGTTTTTCCCTGCTGCGGTGGGGAAGCTCTCAAGGGAACTTTCAGGGAGAATGTTGAAGGCAGCTGTGAGACAGGTAAGTCAAGGACTGCCGATTATAAGCGTAAGAGATTGCCTGAGGCAGGCGGATCAAATGCCCAAGTGTTTATGGGCTTTGTGTCTGGTCATATATTACAGCTACTAATCATTCCAATAAAGGTAGTGCTTATAAATGAAAAGTAGGCATCTGCTCTGGGCCAGCCAGTGTTCTCTGTGTACTTAGTATTATTTTGAATACTCTTGCATAGTATTATTCCCATTTTTTCTATGAATAAAACAAGTCTTAGGCTCCTTTTCACTTACTGATCCCGTCAAAGCCCACAGCTCGGGGTGCGGGAACGGGGCTCCGGCCACAGTTCTGACCCCGGAGCCCGATGCCCTCCGGCAGCAGCGCTGCCGGCCCCGCCGTCTCCTGCCAGCTCGTCCTTTTAGGGGGACGGTGCCCCAAACGGAACACGTGCTTTTCCACGCGTCTCTCTGAAATATCTCAGTTTAAGTTAGTGTGTTTTTCTTTTTCAGTCCTTAACCATGGAAGGCCAGGATCATCCTCATAAAAACTCATTATTTATGATCTCTCTGATGTTATTTCAGTGCACATTCTTCTAGATGTTTCTTTTTCACTTCCGATGGCGAGTGGTGTAGAGTCGTTCCGTATGTTACAAATGCCAGTGTGGTACTATGTTGCTGACACCTACTAAAAGTACATTATCAACATAAATAAGGCATATTTCCTCTCATTTTTATGAACATCAAAAACAAGGGTTTCTTCATTTATACTTGCATTGAAATCCCCTGGGGGTGTTTTTGCAAAACCAGGCCTGGCTGGCCTTCACAGGTAGTCTTATCTAGTAGGCCTGTGGCAAGCGCCGTGCCGCGTGCATTTTAGAAAAGCATCCCAGGGTGGTATTCATTTCGCTAATATTATTTGATTGATTTATAGCATAGTTGTTTTGATATATTGTCCATTCTCATTTTTTAAATTGGGAAAACGAATAGGAGAATAAATTAAGCATTCCCAAAGTGTCCCATTTATTGCACAAGCGTGCACATACCTGTAGGAAACACATGGACACATGCACACACACCCATTTCCTATCTTAGAACCGAGACCTCCCACCCCCTGCAAACTGCACTCTTCCCCAGCATTCCAGCCAGTTCTTAATTGTCCTTTTCATGCTTCACAGAGTGGTGGTTGAGCCGAGCCTCCAGGACGAAAGTGAATTCCTGTACGCTGCGCAGCCCGAGTTACTGAGATACAAGACCACCCAGCTTGCTGTAGAGAAAGTCATGGACTGGTATCAGAACAGAGCAGAGGAGATAGAGCATTTTTCTCGACAGGTGAGGGGACAGTGACAGCTGCTGCTCAGAGATGCCAGCAGTGCTGCTTTGGGGCCCGAGGGTTCAGTGTGTGTAGCGGCTGCCAGTGTCATGTGTGCAGCCTGCGAGGAATGAGTGAATATTTGCTACTTCTTTTGTTTATTCATCCTGTCTACAAAGTTTTTGTGCTTTCTTTTTATTTATTAAAGAACAAATACAAGAAAAGTTCAAAATCTGTCTTCAAAATGTAAGCTACAAAATATGATACGTGCTATTGGTGACGTATTATTAATAGGTTTAATACCACATTAATTAAAGATCATGTCAACCTCGAAATGCTTGATTAGCCCCTTGTCACATTGCAGTGATGCAGCGAATTGTGAGGTGGCTTTTCAGGACCCCTGTTTCAGGCTCTGTTCAAATGATCCCTTGAGCCCAGGCCCTTTCTGAGGTGCCCGCCAGCTGCGCTGGAGGCGGCCCGCGGAGCGGGCAGGGATGGGGGCTGTGCCGAAGGTCAGGTATCTGAGCAGGCATCTCGGCTCCACCTACATACACACCTGCCACTCTGGACTTGCGCCTGCCTTTTCCAGTACCTTGTTGTTTTCGTGGGCTAGTTCTTACACCAGAGTTGCTGAGAACCAGGAAAATAGACAGGAGAGCACACTCCAAACTCTGCCAATGGAATGCCTTGCACACGTGAGTGGTCGTTGTCCTCGTCTCACAGGATGGAAGTTCGCGATCCCGAGCACAGGGCGGCAGAAAGCACAGAGAGGTCTCCTTCCGGGTCTGGCCAGGAGATGGCTTTTCCTTTCCACGTGCAGCCGTGGCCGTGGCCCCTCTGTCCTACTGGCAGGTTTTCACCTCATGGGAAGGGCGATTCCAGAGGGCCCGCTGCCAGCTCTGTGGGAGGGACCCTGTATCCCTTTGTCTGCATCTCTATGTAGCGTATCTGGCACGGTCCTGTGTCTCCATTTGATAACCTTCCTGAACTTCTGCTTAATCTAATTCCTATTTTTAGTATTCATAGAATTGAAGATGAACTATTTGCGGGAGCTGATGGGAATATTACAGACCAAACTTTTGCGGGGAAGGCCAAGAATACTTATGATTGACTCCCCACGGTTCTGGAGTTGGCCAAGGGCTGTAGCAGAAAATGTTTAGAATCTCATGCTGTCATGATGAAAAGAGTCTCTGGAATGATATAGTCTAGTTATCTGTGTTGTAGGTAGATAAGCTGAGGTCCACAGAGAGGAAAGACCGAGCAGCCTGCTCAGGGGTGGACAGTGACAGAGCCAAAGTCCAGGGCTCCGTGTAATATTTCCCATAGGGCCTGCATAAAAAATAAACAGTTACACAAACCTTAATGCTTAGAGCAAGATACGTTCATCTAAAAAAGTGGTTCTCAGACTTACAGTAGCAAATATTTGGTAATATTTACTGTTCTGATGAGAAAATCCTAGATATGTCTTCTTGGCAGAAAATTTCCAAAAGATTAATATAATGGCTTGACTGCAATATATAGGATGAATAAAATATGTAAATGTTGGATCATGGTTATACTGGGAAGTAAAGTCATTGAGAAATCTCTGAATAAGATAGCTAAAGTTGCAGATTCAGATATGTTGTATTGTTTGAGTTAAAGACTGCAAATTGCTCTCTGGGATGTAAACAACTCATACTAAACTTTAACAAAACAAAGAATCCTCCCTTGATTATATAGTAGCTTCATTGCAGAAAATTCTGTGTACATCAAACCATATGAAAAAGAATTTTATGTAAATATTAAATGAAATCGGGATCTAGATTCTGATCACTGTAACTAGGTTTTCCAGGACATTTGGACGGTAGTCAGGGCTCAGGACAAGTTGGTTATGCAGGCTGCCCTGCGCATTGTGGGGCGCCTGGCATTCCTGGCCGCCACCCACTTAATGTCAGTAGGTCCAGCTGATTCCTGGGATGGACAGAAAGGCCTGCTCAGACTTTCTGGATGCCTCCTGGGGGACCATGTGCTTCCACCGAGAAGTGCAGTCTTAGACCAGTGTCATGCATCTGGAAATGACTAGCTCAAATGCTAGCTCACATCGGTCACCGTAAGCGAAGGCGTCTTATTTTGCTAATACAGGAGAGACTCGCTTGATGATAATTCATGAAGAAGCTTCCAAGTCAGCCAGTGAGGCACTTTTTTTTTTATGAGTAAATAGATGATTTGTATCCAGACATCTTCTAAGATTCCGTAGGCATCACGTGATTTATAGGAGCTGCATGGAGTTTACTAGTGTCTCTGTCAGCAAGGGAAAGCATTTAGACCAGCCTTGCCTGAGCACTTCATGGTCTCCCAGCCAAACCAGACAGCTTTGCGAGAGTGAGGAGAGATGCGTGTGTGGGTATTTGCATATACATTTGAATAACTGATTTGTAGGTGGTTCTGTTACTTGAACTAGGAATGACAATTCAAAAAATTTTTCATGCCTAAAAAGTGCTGGGCAACCACTGTCATGTATTTCAAAAGATCAGTAATGACTCCTTAACTTGTAGTGTCTAAATGTTTTGTAACCCAAATTTCAGCCATTGTTTAGGATTTTTTTAAAAAAAGAACAGCAGTAATACAAAAAGAAAAAGGCCACACTGAAATGTGGAATAAATGATCAGTTTTTACACTTATCTATGTTCTTATTTATTTGTTTTATTAATAGTTTATTTTTTCAAGAAATTTTAGGTTTATAGAAAAATTGAGTAGAAAGGACAGTGTTCCCACATACCCCTCTCCACTGCTCCAATAGTTGTCTCTGTTACTGCATTTGAGTGCTGCGTTTGTTAGAACTGATAAACTGAGATGTCCCTTAAGAGGCGAATGGATAAATAAACATTGGTACAACCACACAGTGGAATATTCCTCAGTGCTAAAAGGAAATGAGCTATCAATCAGGAAAAAACATGGAGGAACCTTAAATGCATGGAGTGGTTTGGGGGTGCTTCATTCAGCTGCCTTCTGGCCTGTTTTTCATCTCTTTCATTTATTTAAAAACACCTCGAATAGAGGTATTGTTCCTTAGCTTCATTTCATGTGTTGACATATCATGTGGCGTATGCTATAATCAAAGTGATATCTAACATACTTTTAGCTTTTTCATTTTTAAAGGTTTAATTGATATGGGACTTCTTTTTCCTTAGTGCCTACAAATGCCTTTAGCAGAATATTTTTGTTGGCTTAGGAAAATGTGTCTAGCGGTGAAATTTATCCAGTGAGGGCTTGGGGTTTGTGGTATATAATTATTTAAGTTCCAAAAGAGCCTACTTTCATTTAAGGTGTCAGATTTTAGATTCTGAAACATAATTTACTTCCGATCTAAATAGACAAACGTAAAACTGCTCTGTAAGCTGCAATGGTCTATGAATTTAAGATGGTTGTCTTTCTCTTACCATCTTTACCTTCAGAATGTTTTGCAGATTATATGATTTTTTTGCACCAGTTTGATACATCAGGTAGATAACTCTAAAGCTTTGTACTAGAAATGTATATTGTAGATCTGATTTTATATACATTGAACAAGAATTAGGTTCTGTACAGAAGGCTTTTACTTGAGGGTATATGGCAAAGCTGCAATACTCAGACTTACTGTTGCCTTTCCATTTTAGGTTGACTGTGCATTGTCACTTATTCGACTTGGAATGGAGCGGAATATTCCTGGTTTGCTGGTTCTGTGCGATGATCTGGTTACTCTGGAAACATTGGTCTATGAAGCCGGGTGTGACTTAACCCTAACCTTGAAAGAACTCCAGCAGATGGAAGACATTGAAAAGCTAAGATTACTGATGAATAGTGTAGGTTTTCTTTTAACTTTCTTTCAAAATATTCCTCGTGTGTTTTGGTTAATGTATGTCTCAAAGCCAAAGATGAACTATCCCGCAAACCTGAGAACTCCGTAAATAAAGGAAGGTTTCTTGAGTTTTTAAAAGACATATGAAATTTTATGGATAAGTTAACTGAAGGCATCCCAAAACTATATTGGTTGTTTTTGTACCCTGCTTGGCTTTATTCACACTCATCTGTTTGTAACTCCCCCTCTCCCCCCTTCCAGCCAGGCATATTTCTCAGCTAGCTGTCATTCTAGCGTTCATGTTTCTAGTCCTTCACTGTATTCCAGTTCACAGCTATGTATACATTTCAAGGTCTTCAAAACAATTACTGGAGTTCAGAGGCTGAGTGGTTGTATGAAGGAAGCATCTTGGCTTCAGAGTTAATATGTTTAGAAGAATTTGTCTGGCTATTCTTAGGTTTTTGGGGAGATCATCCTGGGGAGAAAGTACAGTCCTCAAGTTAGAATCTGGTTTCTACTAAGCCCACAGAGTAGGGAGACATCTTTGACTCAGAAATGAGTGGGCAGAGGAGGCGCTCGCTGTTGGTAGCCTTCTTAGTCTTTGCTTTTGGGCAGCCTGGTGTGAATGGGCCAGGCCAGGGTGGGCTTACTGCTGCCTCATAGGTTCTCTTTTCTCCCCTGACCCTTCTTTTTCTCCGGTTCTTTCTTTTCATCTTCCTTTCTCTTTCTCATTCCTCTCTCTCATCGTCTTTCTCCCTCCTTTCAATGCGTGTTTTGTCTTTCTCTCTGCCTCTACCTTCCCTTTCTCTTACTAATTTCTTTTCAGATCTTCCACCCTGGGGAAATTGACTTGTGTTATAAGGAAAGCCCTTCTTAAGAGATTTAGGTGTATCTCCTGGGGTAACTGAGGAAGGGGATTGTGGGATTTCAGGGATAATGAGTAAAATGATGTGTGCCGTTTGGAATTTTGTGAAGGTGGAATAACAGGGCAAAACAAAACAGGGGAGGAGGAAAAGGAGGGGAGAGAATCTGGGATTTTATAGGTGAGATGTTCTCAAGTGGCTGCTTTCTAGGACTTTGTTATATCCACCTATATCCCTGCTGTTTCTTCTTTCAATTTTTATTGAATTTATTGGGGTGACATTGGTTAATAAAATTATATAGGTTTCAGGTACACACTTTTAAAATACATCATCTGTATATCGTGTTGTGTGTTCACCACCCAAAGCCTCCTTCCGTCACCATTTATTTCCTTTTTACCCTCTTCTACACACCAACCTCCTCCGCCCCCCGCCCCCCTGGTAATCACTAGACTATCATCTTTTTTGTTTCACACTTTCTGTTGGTCTGTTCTCTCTCTCTCTCTCTCTCTCTTTTTACGTCCCTCCCGCCTCCATATACACACCCGTGGGGTAGAGCCCCTCTTTGCTCTGGAAGACCTCCCGACGTGGTGAGAGAGGGTTCGTTGTCCTGAGCGGGCCTTGGGCCCCGGGGGGGCCCAGGGTGGTGGTGGAGCGGGGGCGGTGGGCTGCAGGGCTGTTGCCGCTCTGAGTCCCAGGAGCCCTGGCAACAGGTGGTCCTTCTACCCGCCTGTCTCCACGTGGGCAAACTGGAGCGTCTGTTGTAGAAGGTGTTGGGCTTCCCCTGTGGACCTCAGTCAGATTATCTGGGAGTTCTAGAACTTTAGTCTGGTATAAGCAGGAATTCAATTTAACTTAACGTGTGTGTATTTTTAAATTATTTTTTCAGTGTTCTGAGGACAAGTACGTGACGAGTGCCTACCAATGGATGGTTCCCTTTCTCCATCGTTGTGAGAAGCAGTCCCCTGGTGTGGCGAATGAACTACTGAAAGAATATTTGGTAGCTTTAGCTAAAGAGGACTTAAAACTCCCCCTGAAGATATTTCAGCATTCCAAACCAGATGTAAGTAGACACTCTTTATGTCTTAAAAAAATCTCTACATTTTTTTCCCCTACAGAATTAGGTTTTACTTATTAATTTTTTTATAATACGTCTTCGCAGGTAAATTCTCTTTAAATGGAAACAGAAATGGTTGTCATTTCTTTCTTTTTATTTTTAAAGATTTTATTTATTTATTTTTAGGAGAAGAGGGAGAGAAATATCAATGGGTGGTTGCCTCTCACGTGCCCCCTGCTGGGGACCTGGCCCGCAACCTAGTCTTGTACCCTGACTGGGAATCGAACTGGTGACCCTTTGGTTCACAAGCCAGTGCCCAATCCGCTGAGCCACACCAGTTGGAACATTTAATTCTTTAAAAAAAAAGTTTCATCAGTTCAGTCCAAAATTGTTTTGGAAGGTCATGAAATTATGTCTATTTTAATTGATTTACTCCAAAGTGTGTTGAATATTATAGTTTGGAAACTGTCAGTACCAAAAAGACTAACAGTTAGTAGGTAGGCGCGATATAAGTGTTAATTCATTTAATCCTTCTAACAGTTCTTACAGGCAGATATTTTTATTATATTACAGGAAAACAAAATTGTGATGTAGAGAGGTTGTCCATTTGCCCAGGGTCACACAGTAAGGAGTGGAACCTGGGTTCAAGCATCCTGATCTCACAGTTATGTTCTTAACCATATGCTTTACCATTACGCCAGCGTTAGAAGAAAAATTTCTTCCCCCGAGGACCTTTAAAATATTTACGAATTATTCTTAATAACTCTATTTGCTTAAGGTTACTATATTTATAGCCATATATTTCTATAGGGTTCCAATAGTTGTTTAGATTTGCTGGTGTGTGCAGCATACTTTCCACAGTAGACAGCCTCTGAATTTAGTCACAGATCAAACGTGAGGGACCAGGAGCTAGTGGCTGCCTTGCCACTAGAGGGACTGAAGCAGGACAGCGTAGTCCCTTGAGGTACAGAACTGTGTCGTGAGGTCAAGCATTAGGTGGGGTTTCAGGGAGAAGTCACGCAGGCCCCTGCCAGCCCTAAACTCTGAACTGAGCAGACTTCCTTGTGCCGGCCTGTGCTCGGTCTGCAGCCCTGTGGGCACAAGACCGGCCTGAGTAACGCAACAGGGAAAGCGCTGCTTCGTGAACCTGACACGCGTTTTGGTTTCCGGAAGGCTTGTCCGTCAGAAATGTGCCCGTCCGTTGGCTGGTTAAACCTTCGCATCTTCTGCTGTGTGGGCACGGCTTAGCATTCTGACTCTAGGGCTGGCCGCTTTCCCGTGAGCCGGGCGTGGGTGGCTCGTGCCAGCAGAACTACGCGGGAGAAGCGGGATGGATTGAGCATGAATGATTTATGAGGAAGAAAGGAGTGACTTGAAATTCTTGTCAGTAATCTTGTTTGTGATACTTCTTCCTTACAGAGCCTTATAAATCCTTTGTATAGAGTCAGTTTTTTTGTTGTTTTACTTGGCAATTTAGCATGTGCCTTTTGAATAAGACATAGCCGTTTGAAATACATAAACATCAAAGGAGAGAACGATGTTGTTGCTATGTATTTTTGTCCCAATCAACTTCTCTATTTCTCCAATGTTACCTTTCTGCCACGCAAACCTGATCATGTCACAGTCTGTGGAAAGCCTCCAGTGACTGCCGTGGCCTGCAGGGTGACGTCGGGCCCTCCGGAGCGGCGGGAGGTCCTCTGTGGCCTGCGCTGGCCTGCCTCTTCAGCGTCCCTTCCCTCTGCCAAGGCACCGGGTCTCTGGCTCCCACCTGCTCAGGCCTCTTTGTCCTCTCATAGGCTGTTCCTTTCGTTTGGGATGCTCAGCCCCCTGTCCTGCATTTAAAAAGCACCTGTCCTTCAAGACCCTGCTCCCTGAGACTCTCTCGCATGTGCCACCTTCCATGACTTACCTGTGATGTGACAGGTCTTATACTTGTCTCTGTAATAACCCTCCTCGTACTGTGCTGTAATGATTTGTTCACATGCTTGTCTCTCCCTCCCTTTGTTTCCTGCGTACGCTCTCTCTGTCTTATGTATTTATTACACCTTTGCTTTCTATGAGTCTAACGTGGTGACTTGTAGAAAGCAAAAGCTGGGTAAATTCTGGCAGGGCAAATGAATGAATGAGTGAATGAATGAATGATAATGGGTTTTACTTTGATGCTTTAGATGACTTGATCGTATTAGTTTAGTTTAGTAGGATTGTGCTTTGAGCATTGTTTTATTTTACTTGGTTGTTCCCAAAACAATGTATCTGGGATCTGCCATGAATCCTGCATGGAGTATTTTTAGTAATGTAATAAGACCCATGATTTCTGTGTCTGACAGCTTAGGCTAAATTATGCTGCCTTAACAAATGACCCCTAAATCTTTGGAGCTCACAGCAGGGAGAAATACTCATTTCTCCCAAGTGTCATGTAAGCTGTGGCTGGTCTTCTGCTGTGTTTCAGGTTTTATTCTTTCCGGGACTTGAGTTGAAAGAGCAGTCCCCTTTTCGAACTTGTGGCACAAGAAAAAGAACAAAGTAGAACCTCATAGTGGCTCTTAAAGTTTTAGCTGAAAGTGGTTCAGGATGCTCCTCTCACATGTCACAGGACAAAGGAAGTCCAGGCTGAGCGTGATGTTAATGGAGCAGGGACGAAGAACCCTCTCTTGGGCAGACAGGGGTGTGTAATTGAGAACAAGAATGCAAACACAGATTTGTCACTTTTACATTCTCATGAGCCTCAAACTTTTCTTTTTTACAGCATCTTAAAGCACTCATCTCTGGTTTTAAGCCTTTGCTCTTTGCTTGAATCTGCCTTTGGAAAGTGAAACTGGATAGAGATGACAGGAAAAAAATATTCTTCCTCCTTATATTGTTCTCTGCCTTCTGTACTAGCACACTTTGAATGCATGGGTGCATCAGAATATGTGAAATTTTTAATAAAACACAGTGCTTTAGGTCCAACCCAGGTATCTAATAGAGCAGAGTTTGGGGAGCAGGGGTTCTGGAATAGACACTTGGCAGCCTCTCCAGTGGTTCAGGTGGGTGCCGGGCCAGGGGCAGGTGCTCCAAGTGGCGTTTTGTCCCAGGCCACAGCATCATAGCAGCAGGTGTTCAGTTCCTTCCTGACCGCTGCAGTCAGTAGGCGGTTTTAGCTTTAAAATTACTTTTTCTAATTTTAATGCTTCTTGTAGATTATTTAGAAAACTCAGAAAAAGATAAAGATGGAAATAAAATGTTTGTTTTTCGGCAATATTATTGACTAGGTAATCTAAAATCCTTTGTGCTGTGAAATATCTAGATGTGCTTACTTGGTTATTTAAAAAAAATCTGTTTACCTGCATAGCTGAGGTCATGAGAAAGCTCAGGAAAGTCCTCGCAGGCCCAGCAGAGAAGGGGTGGAAGGCTGAGAAATACTCCTGAGAAGGAGGCCGTGGTGAGCGGGGTTGGGGTCACTGTGGAAAACCCCCAGAGCAGTGAATTTTAACACCTCTTTGAAGCCGAAGATGAAGTCTTTTAAAGTGATGAGGTTGAAGTGAGACTTAGCACGCAGGGCCCTTTAACAATTGCATTTCTCCAATTAGGACTGAATTTTAACATTCTGTCATGTGTTTGAGGGGCATTATCTCTTGTTTGGTGAATTGTTCAGTTCTGCCTTTTCCTTATTTTTCATTTGGATTTTTATTCCTTTGTGTCTTATTTATTTTTAGACACTCATGTTAGTGTGTAATCATTCCTTTTTCTGTGACCTATATTGTAAAATTTTAATCCCTGTTTATAGGTTGTCTTTTGACTTTCTCTATGGTGGATTATGTTATACAAAATCACCTTTTTCTTTTTGTGTAGTCAGATTTGATCAGTCTTTGCCAATGTGTTTTGAGTAAATATGAGGAAGACTTTCTTACTCCAGGGTTAAAGAAGTATTCACTCATGTTTTCTTCTAGTACTTGTGTAGTTTTATTTTTAGGTTTAGATTTTTAATTTGGAATTTATTCTTTTATAAGATATGAGAGATATGGAGTTAATTTTATGTTTTCCCAACTGGCTACCTAGTTGTCCCAGCACCATTTATTGAAAGATTTGTCTTTACCTGAGTGATTTGAGATGACATCTTTGAGCTATACCACATTTTCATTTGTTTGTGGGTCTAGTTCTAGAGTTTCTATATTGTTCTAATGGTCTTTCTGTCTGTCCATACACTAGTATCATACTGTTTTAATATAGAGATTTTATAGTTCTTAAGTCTGACAAAGATAGTGTTCTTTTGTAATTTTTTCCCCAGGGTTGATTTTATTTGTTTCCTTTTTTTTCCCTTGCTCTTTTATATTTGTTTTCCCATCCGAACTTCAGTATCAGCTTGTCTAATTCTATAAAATAGCTTATAGCTTGTTAGTATTTTTATTGTGATTGTATTGAATATATAAATTATTGTAATGAGGCCACCATCTCTATAATGTCTAGTCATTCTGTTTAAGAAGAGGGGCTGCTATTCATTTGTTTGTCTTTTTGTCTTTTTTATTGTCTTTCAGGAGTGTTTAAAGTTTTCCTTATGTAGGTTTTGCACATTTTTTGATAAGTTTATTTCTAAACATTGATTTTTTCTGTTTTTTATTATAAATGTAGTTTTCTCTGCCCTAATTTTCTCTGTTTATTGTTTGTGTGTATGAAATGTATTGATTTTGTATATTAATTTTGTATTCTGAACTTTACTAATTTAAAAATTTTCTAATTAAATTTATTGGGGTGACACTTATTAATAAGATTATATAAGTTTCAAGTATGTAAGTCTATAATAAACCATCTGTGGATTGTGTGACCACCACCCGAAGTCAGGGCTCCTTCCGTCACCATGTAGTCGACCTCCTCCGTCCCTCCGTGGTCTCGCTCTCTGCCCGCTTTCACTCTGGTAACCATTGTGCTGTTGTCTGTGTCTATGAGTTTTTTGTTTTGTCTTGTTCATTTGTTGCTTTCTGTTTTATGTCCCACATGAGTGAAATCATATGGTTCTTGACTTTGAAAATGTCATGCTAAATGAAATAAATGAGATGGAAAAAGTCAAGAACTAATTTTTTTAATTGGTTGATTCTCTGGGGTTTTCCAACTATCTTACCATCTGTTCTTTTTTTTAGTCATCTGTAGTACATAATCTTAAGACTTTAAATTGTTTTTTGTACTTTTTACACTTTTTCCTTGCTATGCAGTATGGAAAATAATCGACTGTGCATAGTGGGGAAGACTTATTTCCTTGACTTCTTAGAAAGTCCTGGATGGCTTACTTCTATTAGCCTGAGGTGGAGCAAGTGACGGTTCAGTGTTCACCCCTGAGGTGTTAGGGCAGGAGTGATGGAAGTAAGACCAAGTGTGTCTGTCTCACAGTACATGGAGTTCAGTGACATCTGGTAGGGAGTCTCACAGGGCAAGGATGGCAAGTGCCTTAAAAATTTGAGTATTGTGATTCATGTACACAATAGATTGTATAATATTAAGATAGATACTCTGAATGGCATAAAGAGAGAACAACAACAAAAAAACCCCAGAGAAATACAGAGGTGAAAGGACCTGTGTATGAGAGTCGTAGGGGCATTTACTCACTGGGCCAGTGTGCGCTGAGCATATGCAGGCGCCTGGTGAAAAGAAGACCGGGCAAGTCCAGCTGAAGTCAAATCCACGTGGAGCTACGACTGGGTTATTAGGGAGGTTGTAAATAGGACGAGACTAAGTTCTGGAGGAGGCCTGCCAGGTAGGAGTAGGACAAGGAGACCTGATCGGACCATTCGCCTGTTTACTTAAAGGCAAGGCAAGAAGTTCCTTCTTTTTCTTTCAAACTTCGAACGACTACTGCAGGGTTTTTAACAGAAGATGTGGACCACTGATGTTCAAACTTGGACGCTAGAACATTGAACTTTCAGACAACACTTTAATGTCTCAGGGAGGGGCAGACAGGGAGCAGAGAGACCGTGGTGGGGGTGGGGGGTGGGGGTGGTGTATGTCAAGGACTTTGGCTTCTGCTTCAGCTGGTTTCCCAAACTGTTCCTTGGCTGAAACTGGGTTCACCTTTTTTGTCATCCTGGGACCCTTTCTTACCGTAGCTGAGATGTTTATTACCCTGGTTTTCCTCAGTCTCCTCCGCTCTTCCTGTTTGTGAGGTTCTTTGGAGGGTCTGTGGGACCCGGCTATAACTGAGAACTGTACCTGGCACATAATAAGAAATCAGGAAAAGTTAGCTCTTTTAATTAATTTTTAATAATACTTTTATTACACCTGTTTGTCCCTATTTCACTAGTTTGTCACTTTGCAACCTTGGACAGCTTTTTGTTAAATGTTGGTGTCACGTTAATGGTTTATTTTATTTTCTTAATACTTCGAAGAAAGGTATATAAATCCTTTAACCCAACTACTTTAAAGAAAAGCTTTATTTCTGTAGTAACCTTGAATGCTTCTTCTTTGCATCCATTGATGTGATTTTTCTGTGAGAAAATGCCTTTTGTGGCAGTTTTTCTCCATCCCTGTTGTATCTGTTTTGTATTTCTACTAGAAGGTAGAAAACTAGATCTTATTATTAAAATTTTCTTAAACTTAGTTTGTTGTTGAAAAGGTCTCGAAGAAAATAGTTTGAAACTTCCATTTTGGTTTTGGTGGTAGTAATAATATAAGCATTCTACGTGTATTAATTTATTTAATCCACACAACCATGCTTTCTATTAGGAAATTGTGTTTATATGCCAGCTTTATAGATGAGAAAAACAAGCCACAACTCTGTTATTTTTATTTCCCAGAAAGTACTCCAAGATTGAAATCTGTGGTTGTCAGTGGGAAACGGTGTACCCTATATAGAAAGTGACCCAAAGTAACCATCTTTCTGCATGCCACTTCTTTCAAAAGAATGTCAGCACTGTGTAGTTAAATGACTAATATATTATGCACCCTGAAAAACAGTAGTGTCACACATCTCTGAATATTAGTTAGGAATTTTATATATTTTTGTAATTAAAACACGTAAAATTTGGCTTTAGGGTTAAAAATGTTCTTAATGAGTTGCCTTTTTAATTCACTGTGTCCCTTCTGTCTTGAATAGGTCATAAATAGAAGAATCTACTCAGACTCAAAGCTTATGAGTACAAATTATGTTTTCTAGTTGATTCTATAATTAAAATGTTATTTCATTTAGGATTATTAAAGATTCCCGAAGTCTGTAAACTAAGGTAGTATCAAGATTTGTTCCTGCAACTGATTAATTGAACTATTTAATGTTTTATTGATAGTGGTACTGAGATATGGAAAAAGTGACTGTAAATCTATTGACATTTAGTACAGTGTGCTGTATTTTCTCTAGCTGCAGCAAAAAATTGTTCCTGATCAGGACCAGCTGATGGCTATAGCTCTGGAGTGCATCTATAGCTGTGAACGAAATGACCAGCTGTCTCTGTGCTATGACATACTAGAGTGTCTGCCACAAAGGGGATATGGGTAAGAAGCCACCACGTGCCAACCTACTGTGTCTTTATATTCTAGCAGTTAAGATGAACATATCGCTTCCCTGAATGTTCATTACAGAGAATTTTGGGGATAGAAACAATATGAAGAAGAAGAGGAAATGATCTGCAAATCCTTTACCTACAGATAAACTTTTCTAGCAATGTATAGGAAGTCCCTATAATTTTGTGCACCTTGGTAATTAATTATCCATTAAAAAACACCACTACTGCCACAACAAAAATATTTTTTAAAGTGTGTGGACAATGATATGCCATTGTTTTAAGTTGTGTTTCTAACTAACCATTTTCCATATTTGTGGGCTAATTGTATTTCTTCTATGAATTGTTTGTTCTTGGCTCTTGGTAATTCCCATAGTAATTCCTTTAAGTAGTATACATTAATATATAATTTATTTTTTCAGTTTTATTGAGATATCATTAGCATACAGCACCATATAAGTTTAAGGTGTACAGCATAATGACTTGACTTGCATATATTATGAAATGCTTACCATAGTAAGTTTTGTTAACCTTCATTACATCATATTAATACAGAGAAAGAAAAGCCAATGTTTTTTTCCCTTGGGATGAGATCTTTTAGGATTTTTTTTGTGAACAATTTTAAAATATAACATACACTAGTGTTGACTATAGTCATCGTATTGTACATTACAGTACTTACTTATAACTGGAAATTTGTATTTTTTGACCACCTTCATCTAATTCCCCAACCTCCCATTCCCTGACTCTGGCAACCACACATCTGATCTTTTTTCCTATGAGTTTAGCGTTGTTGTTTTTTGTTTTTTAATTCTACATGTAAATGAGATCATACAGTATTTGTCTGGCTTATTTCACTTAGCTTAATGCCCTGAAGGCCTGTCCATGCTGTAATTGGCAGGACTTCTTTTTTTTTTAATGGATGAATAATGTTCCATTGTGATCTATATCTTACACACCATGTGTATATGTGTGTGTCACACACACATCTCCCATTTTCTTTATCCATTTATCTGTTGATGAACACGTAGGTTGTTTCTGTGTCTTAGCTGTTGTAATAGTGCCGCAGTGAACATGGAGGTGCAGATATTTTTTCGACACAGCGATTTCATTTCTGTCATCTGTATACCCAGAAGTGGAATTGCTAGATCATATGATGGTTGTATTTTTAATTTCTTGAGGAATAAATTTACATAATTTTTAATTGGGCTTATGTTTAAATGGAAATTTATGTAACATTCCTTTGGGTCAATTAGTTGCATGCAAATCAGATTTATATTTTCTTTTTGGAAGTCAGGCAGCATTTATTCCTTTAATCATTCTTTCAGATCTCATAAATACTATGAATTTAACATCTGGAGAAGTTAATACCAACACAGGAAAGAGCACTGAAAGAAAACTCAGTGGGCCTGTTTCTCAGCCGTTGTGACTTGAGCTGAGTCACTTAATTTCCCTGGTCCACGGTTCCTTCATTTGCAAAATCAGATATTTAGACATGGAGGTCTCCTCTTGCTCTGTTTTCTGTCTTTGCCCTTCCCCCCCTCCTCTGTATCTCTTTTTCCCTGTTTCTTTTCCTTCCAAGGAGATTTGAGCATGCGTGTGTACATATATGAAATGAATACTAGAAATCGCCAGTCTTGCAACCCACTGTGAAGTAATTGTTTCATGCAGTCATTAATGACACTGAAATCAGGGGAAAGGTTTTATAAAAAATAAAAATTTTTATTTTTTACTTTTGTAATTTGAAAGAAGAACTTACCTTTATAAACCTTTAATCAAATTATCAAATATAACATCACTTAAAGTCGGACAACCTGGCATTATATGTCTCCTGGTGAGATACAATGGGAAGTTAAATTTTTTACCCTTAATCGAATCAGTGTTTTAAACTGATTTCTAGTTTACAGTAAATGCAGGGAATGGGGGCACAAGTTAAATAGCACCATGAAGAAAACAGCCAGATAAATACAGAATGTGAGCTGTTGTGCAAGTCAACTGGTCTTTTCACTTGGAAAAGTCATTGTCATGGAGAAAAACAAATTGGTGGGAATGGAGAGGTACTGTTCTAAAGTCAGGGCATCCAAAAGAACATAACCTCCTTCTAATTTTTAACTATAAAATAACATATGAAGTAAAGTCAGGAGATTGGAAGACTGGTAATATGTAAACAGCATTGGCTGCTTTACGTTTCCCATCCTTGAATACCTGTATTCTAAAAAAGCAGACCCTCATTGTAGACAATGTTTTTCCTCGTGACTTTGCCTCTGTCCGCTCGACGTCTCCTTTATTGTCCCTAAATCAACTGGGTAAAATCATTTACTTCCAACCAACATGTAAAATGAAAAAAAATGTATTAGACAGCAAGATCAAATTAAGCATAAGCTTCTCTATTAATTTTTAACAGTAATTTGCCAACCATGAGGACATAGTCATGGTATCAATAGAATGATAATATGAAAAGAACATTTTTTTATGTAGACATGACAGCGAATTAGTATATTTGTTTTCAAAGAATGTGCAGGCTAAAAAATGCCTCTTCAGTGTATATGAGGCCAAAAGATTTTTTTGGCTTCAGAGTAATGATTTCTGTTTTAACACTTTTTTTTTTTTTTTTTTTTGGGTAAACACACACAAGGACCTTGATGCTCTGTTGTTCCATTTCTTTCACAATTATAAGTTTTAAAATAATTTGTAATTGTAAATTAGCCCACTTCTAAATATAGGGCTTCAGAATATAGTCTCTTTGTCTTTTTGTCAAGTTTGTCAATTTATATTTTCCCATTGATTGGTTGTTATTTTAGTGGTTAAATGGCTGTTACTTATCAAATAGCAAATTATTTGATAAAATAATTTGAATATATATATATATATATATATATATATATATATATATATATATATTTTGCCATTTAGGAAATGAACAATCACTTACTAAATCCAATTAAAGTTCTGTGCATCTTACCTGGGCAGCATATGCCATCTGGCTGAAAGAAATCTTTTGTCATTATGTCTGTGAATGTCAATTCACAAAGGGAGAACACTGTACTCTTGAAAATCAGTGACAAATGTTCATTGTAGAGCTATAAACTGATAATTTAAAAAATATTATTCCTGAATGAGTATGTTAATGGAAATTAGCTCTGACAAATGATCTTTTTTTTTTTTTTTGAAAGACGTTAAGTAGAATATATCCTAATTTATTACTCTAGTCTAAGGCCTAAAATTTCATTTAAAAAGATAGTATAATCTTTATAAATTGCACTACATAACTGCCAAATAGATTTAGATCAGGACAGATTGATAGTTTCCAAAATAATGAGGCTTTTGTTTTCAAGGAAGGTCATTTTTAATTGTCCAAGCCCAGACAAAGATTTTTATTTGGTCTTTTTGTTAAGAAAACCCTCGGATCTTGCTGGAGTTCGGTGGGATTGGTGCAGGGGGTCTCTGCTGAGAGTGTCCCTCCATGGTTGGGACGCAGAGCTGTGTAGGGTGGAAGTGGGCTTGTGCAGCAGCTGCTTAGCTTTTCTGCCAAACCCCTGCCTTCCTTTGTATGTGTGTTGTGCCATACTAAGTCTACCCTGCTGGCCCATTTTCATTCGTTTGTGATCTTTTTCGTGATAATGTTTTCTCTTAGCCCCCTGTCCACTTGCTTCCTCAGAAAGGGCTTGCTTTTTTTTTTTCCCCCAAAACAATTTTTTAAAAATTGTTCAAATACATTTGTCTCCATTTTCCCGCCACCACTTTCCCCTGCCCCACCTGCCGCCAAGGGCTTGCTTTTTATTGATGGCTCTACTTGTCCCTGGCTCCTACACACTGAAGTGGGTGCATAGGGAAAAGTGATTTGAAGTCCCAAGTCCCAAGCGTCCTGGCGGAGACCTCACGGGCATCGCAGGGGCTGCGGACGGGCCTAGGAGGGCCACCACGCAGAGCTACAGGCAACCCTATCTGTTTTATTGGTTTAAAGAACAGAAATAAATGATGGTTTCCCCCTTATCTTCTTTGAAAAAAAAGACTGCAATTGATTTATAATTATTTTTTTGTCTTTTAGCAGAACTGAACAGAAAAGGTCTTTAGAAAGGAGTTGCCGATATCTTGCTAATCTGTAATAGAGAGTATTTGTTCTACGCCATTATGCTTAACCTTAGTCTCTGCTAAGAGACGTGAAAGATGCTGAATGAGGTCAGGAGATGAGACTAAAATTTTACCTGGACAGTGTAAAATTGTGATAGATTCAGTGCAAGAGAAACATCGTTTCTTCTTTTCACTTAAGTGAGTTTTGAATTTTATTTAGAGAGCTACTACTGGAATTTAATTTTAATTTATTTCTCTTAATTCTGTAGCCAGAACACGGAGGTCACCGCAGCTCTCCATGACATGGTAGACCAGCTGGAACAGATCCTCAGGTGAGAGCAACGGCAGTCTATGGCTCTACGCGGGTCAGGGAGGTCTGTCCCGGAAACATTACTCCTCTAAGCATGCCTCATAGTTTTTTCCAGTTTGACCCTGTGTATGTGTGACTCTTTACAGGTGAGTTTTCTTAATAACAGATGTGCCACTAGCTTATTTTACAAACTGCTATGGTAAGAGGATCATGGACTTTCAAAACTGGTAGACTTCTGTTCAAGTCTAGGCGTTGTTTCTTACCAGCTCTGTGAGCTTTGAGCCTAGGGTTTCCATATCACTAATCTCTAACTCTTGAGATTATAAAATTAACGTTAGATTAAGATTTACAGTACTTCACACATAGTAGGTTCACAAAAAAATTAGTTCTTGTAATAATTGCATTTATCAACAAACAATATTTATTATACTTCTGACTTTTCAGACACAATGCATTTGATTGACTATCTGGCCTAGAGCAAACTGTACCAGAGACTTTAAGTAACTGTAGTAATTTCTTTTACTGTCAAAATGAAAAAGCATACCGTCTCTTTTGGAGACTGAATTTCCTAATTGCCGTTTAGGAAGTCTAATATTGTTTACTAGTATTTATTTTTGTATGTGTATGTAATTGTGCCTGTGTGTAATTTTTAAATATTTGTATTAAAAATAAAATTTTAGGAATGATAACTTTGTTCTTCCATTATGTAATTATAGAAATTATAGGTAATAACATTGCTTTATAGTGGTAATATATAGTAAAGTATAATAATTTGGAATCTAATTAGAAATTTTTTTCACTCAAATTAAAGGACTTATATGTAAAGATATTTTTGAATTTTATTTAAGGAAAAATTATATTTTTGTGTACCATAATGTGTGAGTTTAATGAAGAATTAATGGTTTAATTTCCTCAGGGTCTCTATTTATTATTATCTTGACTGGTTTTTGTTACTCTATATTCTGAAAGTTATACAGGTTTTTTTCTTGAATGTTTAATAAATCAAGATTTTCTTATTATAGGTTGGCTTGTGTCTCTCCTTTCCTCAACCTCCCTGAGAAATTGAACATAGTTTGAGTGACGTGTACTGGGTTAAGTCAGTATACATTCATTTCTTAACAAATCTTCATGGTTACCTTTGTCTCCCTAATGATACCTAGAGGAGCTTCCTCCAAGGTCTGTGGCGAAATGCCCTGTATTGCTGATTGTAACTGTGGCAGGTCCTGAAGTTCTCAGTACCTCAAGGAAACAGTCACATCCTGTAGGTTCTGGTTGATACTAGGTCTGCACTGCTGAGTTTAATTTACTGACCTTTTAAAATAAGAACCTTTTATTCCTGTTTCATTTCATAGGCATTAATAGGTGCTAAATGTTTTAACAGACATAATGGCAGGTGACAGGACCCTGTCTTTCTAAGAGCTAGCGAACGCTCTCCAGCCTCTCTGTGAGCCCAGTAGTAATCAGCTCATGAGCGTGAGATGTGGTGAGGCAGCCTGGCGGGTGTCATGCTGCCGGTTATGGAGCAGGGTCTCTCAGGAAGATTCATATGAGACCAAGAGAGTTTGTGACATCTTTTGTATTTTTATGGAATGAATTCTTGAGGGAGATTGAGCCTTATGAAATTTGTGTGGCTTTCCAACTATGAAATTCTTTGCTTATTACTTTTTTAGCAGCTTTGCCTGTAACAAAATACTCAATAGAATTGTTAAGAGTTAAAGCTGGGTATTGAAATGATAGATTTGGCTTATTTTCGTGACTTGGAGGCTTTTAGAGGACAGGAAAATTGTACTAAAAGATTTGGAGATAAGGATATGTCATGCTTTTTTTAAAAAAAAGAGTGTTATTTCTTCCAAGTATATTGTAATAAAAGTCAGTAGGGGAAATAAGATTTGATACGTAATTATTAGAATTTTTTGCTGAGAATTAATGTAATATATAAAATTTGGCCACTGGATGTACTGTGTTTTTTTTTTTTTTCTTAAGTGGTAAAAACCTGACTGCTGCTTATAAGATGCTTAGACTTTCTTTGTTTGGTTCCAAAACTTTAAAAAATTCTGCTTTCACTTACAGTGTGTCAGAGCTTTTGGAGAAACATGGACTTGAGAAATCAGTTTCATTTGTGAAAAACACTCGGTCCAGCTCGGAAGAGGCCCACAAGCTGATGGTTAGGCTGACCAGGCACACCGGTCGGAAGTGAGTAATAAATTAATTGATACTTGCATCTGATTAAAAATAAGCACTGCTATTTTTCTTTTTTTAACTTCATTAAGTTATAAATGACCCATGATATATTACACATATTTAAAGAGTAGAATTTGATAAGTTTTGATATATGTATGTACCTGTGAAACCATCGTTACATTCAAGATAGTAAACATAGCCACAATGTCTAAAAGTCTGCTCCTGCCCCTCTGTATTTCCCTTCCTCTGCCTCCCCGTCAGGCTCCTCTCCAGGGTCCTACTGACCTACTTCTTTATCCTTTATATTACTTTGCATTTCCTAGAATTTTACGTAAAAGGAATGATACAGTACATACTTTTTTGGGGGGGAGTTAGCTTCTTTCACTCAGCATAAATATTTTGTGATTCATCCATGTTGTGTTATGGATCAATGATTTATTCCATTTTATTTGCTGAGTAGTATTTCATTGTATGGATTTATCACACTTTGTGTACACAGATGCTGATGGACATTTGGGTTGTTTTGAGTTTTGATTTTTACAAATGAAGCTGTGAGTTTCATGTGTCAGTCTTTGTATGGACATGTACGTTCTTTTGAATGAATCCGTAAGAGTGGAATGGCAAGATCATATGGTAGATGGATGGTTAGAAAGCTACCAACCCGTCTTCCACACTATTGGTACCATTTTATTTCCAAACCAGTCTTGTAGGAGGGTTTCGGTTGCTCCGCATCCTCATCAGCACTTGATATGGGTGGTCCTTTTAAGTCTAGCTATTCTAACAAGTGTGTGTAGTGGTATCTAATTTTGGTTTTAATAACCTTCTCTAATGAGTAATAATGTTGAGCACCTTTTTAAATTAAAAAAAAATGGTTTTTTTTACTGTTCAATTATAGTTGTCCCCATTTCGCCCCCCCCCAGTTCTCTCCCCTGTGCTGCCTACCACCCCTCTCCGACATTCAGTCCTCTCCCCTCCTCCCATTGTCCTTGTCCATGGATCCTTTATGTACATGTTCCTTGGCTTGACCCTTCCCCTTCTTTCCCTTATTGGCCCCTACCCCTCCCCTCTGGTCACTGTCAGTTTGTTCTTTATTTCCATGTCTCTGGTTCTGTTTTGCTTGCCTGTTTGTTGTGTTGATTAGGTTCCACTTATAGGTGAGATCATATGGTATTTGTCTTTCACTGCCTGGCTTATTTCACTTAGTGTAATATTCTTCAGTTCCATCCATGCTGTTGTGAAGGGTAGGAGTTCCTTCTTACTTTCTGCTGCATAGTATTCCATTGGGTAAATGTACCACAGTTTTTTGATCTAATCACTTACCAATGGTCACTTGGGCTGTTTCTAGCACTTGGCTATTGTAAATAATGCTGCTATGATCATTGGGGTGCATACGTTCTTCTGAATTGATGTTTCAGGATTTTTACGGTATAATCCCAGTAGTGAAATCCCCGGGTTAAAAGTTCCATTTTTAGTTTTTTCAAGAAATTCCATACTGTTTTCCACAGAGATTGCATCAGTCTGCGTTCCCACCAGCAGTGCACTAGGGTTCCTTTTTCTCCACATCCTTGTCAGCACATGTTTGTTGATTTGTTTATGGTGGCCACTCTGACCAGTGTGAAATGGTATCTCATTATGGTTTTAATTTGCATCTCTCTGATGGCTAGTGATGTTGTGTATCTTTCTATGTGCTCATTTGCCATTTGTATATCCTTTATCATTTTTAAAATTAGGTTGTTTATTAGATATGCTTTGCAAAGATTTTTCTCCTGTTTGTGTCTTGTCTTTTCATTCTTATATCTATGTCTTATAAAGAGCATACTTTTAAAATTTTGATCAAGTCCAGCTTATTATTCTGTACCTTTATGATTGTGCTTTTGACATTATATTGAGAAACTTTTGCCACAAAGATTTTTTCTTGCCATTTCTAGCAAAATTTTATAGATTCATATAATAAGTCTTAAAACTGGATAATATTAGCCTTCTAGATTCGTTTTTCTTTTTCCAAATTGTCTTGTTTATTTTTGGGGGCCTTTGTATTTACATCTGAATTTTAGAATTAACTTGCCATTTTCTGCAAAAAAAAAAAATCATTTGGATTTTTGATGGTGATTATGTTGAATCTAAAGATTAATTTGGAGAGTACTGCTACTTTAAATTAGCATTAAATCTTCCAATCAAATGAACTCAGGATGTCTTTTCATTTACTTAGGTCTTTAATTTCTTTTAATGATATTTGCAATTTTCATTATTGAAGTCTCATACTTATTTTGTTAAATTTATTCCTAAGCATTTTATTCTTTTTGGTGTTATTGTAAATAGAATTTTTTTTCTATTTCATTTTTCAGATTGTTCATTCCTAGTGTGTAGAAATACAATTAAATTTTGATATACTGATCTTGCATCTTCCAATTTTCCTGGACCCATTTATTATAGCTCCAGTAGGTTTTTGCAGATTCCATAGGATTTTCTATATACAAGATCACGTAATCTGTGAACATAGCTTAACTTCTTTCTTCCAATGTGTATGCTTGTTATTTAATTTTCTTTTTCTTCTTATTGGTATTAGTGTGAGATATTTTTTGGTATACAGCATGGTCTGTAGTTCCTCCCGTTAACATGGTATATCTTTTAATTAATTCGTGTTTTTATGTTTGAAGTGCGTTTCTTGTAGGCAGCAAGAAAGCTGGGCCTTCTTGTCAAGATCTGATTTGGAGAGAGGCAGGCTGCCAGGTGCTGCTCACTGAGGCGCGGGACTGGAAGGGAATTAACGCCCGTTGCACCCGCCCTCAAGTCATAGCGGCCGCAAGATGGCAGATGGATAAACCCATACCTCCCAGGCCACTCCTGCAGTCAGAGCCTCCATTGACCGTGGACAGTTGCTTATGCAGTGCAGCCAGGAGAGGCTTGTTCAAGGAGCTCCCCTTCTTAGGAAGTCCCTCTTTTTCTCTCTGCCTCCCTTCTTCTCTGCCTCTTTCTCCAGTGTACTGTGCTTACTGATGTACGTGTCATATGTTCCCTTCTAGAGCATAAGCTTTTCCAGGGCGAATGTTGTAGCTGCCATGTGTCTAATACGGAACCTCACCTAGCAATGGCCCTCTCTCAGTAGTTGTTAAGTGAGTAATTTAGAAGGATTTGGCAACTTACATCTTAAGATTTCTTTACAACTATAAAAGCATGGTCAGTTTTTCTGATCATGCCGACTCTAGAGCCTGCTCTTCAATAAGAAAGCTTTGTTGTTGCTGCTAGATTATCTACCATCTTTGCATTGGGTCTCTCAAGCAGTTCTCAAGTCCTGAAGTTAATTTCTACTCCTGGCACTCTACTTGCTGTGAATGTGTAAGAGAGCAGCTTCCTTTTTTCAGAGCAGTCAATGTGAATTGAATCTGACCTCTATCACATATGCTTCAATAGCTCTGCCCCTCTGCACCTGTAGACTATTCTTATGCATATTCTGAATGCTGGCAGATTTCCTCAGATCTGACCCAAGTCACGTTTTACCATCTTGAGGGTAATAATATTTCTCCCTGGAAAATGCACTCTATTACAAAGCTGTACCTAATACATAACGTTTGTATTCAGAGATTTCTCTGTTAATTTACAAACCTCTTGCATAGTGCCTTCAAGTTCTACTCTTGGTTCTTATCTACCGAATGTATTCCGAAAAGGCCATTGTAAATAATGTCCTATAATCTATTTTAATTAGAACCTGTACTTACGGTTAGCCATGTGTGAGAAAACAATAATACCATCTGTCCTGGAGCTGATGGTTTCCAGAAGAACAGCTGGGCCCTGTGAACTTGAATTCAGCTGGACTGTGCCTGGCTCTGATTTTATCAAGCAGGTGCAAGGTGGACACTCACTTCATCAAATGCTTTGCCCCTTCTCTGCAGCCAAATCTGAAAGAGGCTCTAATTCTTTGAATCCCATCTAAAGAGTTCACAAACCAGGGTCTCACTAATGGGAAGATTACAGGGTTATCCTGGAAGAGTTACAAATATACCAGTTTTGTGTATTTGCATGCTGGGGGGAAAAAGGTTCCTTTTATGCTTGATTGTATATGGGGTGGGAGTAATTGTTTATTTTGTGTAAGATGAAATGCTATAAGCAAATGAAGCATGTGCTAATAGTTTTAGGTGAAGAATTCCTGAAGACTAGAATGTCACAGGAATGATCCCAAATATACACTCCCCTCATAGCATTGTTACTATACACGAACAATTTAGTTGCCATGTTTTTAACTCACAAAGAAGAAAAAGATAGATGAAAAAGAAACATTCATTTGGTATTTGACTAACACGACAGAAAACAAAACAAAATCTGCCCTTTTCAAACAAGGAGATTCGTGATTATGTATAATATGAAGACTAGAAAGTAAATTTAAGTGATGGTTCCAAGCTCACATATGTTTACCAAAGATGGACATTTGAAAGGCAGAGGGAATTAAAGGCAGCCTTCCTCCCACTGGACAACGCTCGTCATTGCGTATATGGCTATAGAAGCACAGAGGAAATATTTTTGTAACTTTCAGATTCATTAATTTACATTTATTGAATATTATTTTATACCAGGAAAATGGGAGGAGTATCTTTTTGTACATTTTTGTTTAAGTCAATCCTCATAGTATACAGAAAGAGAACCTGAAGCTCCGAGAAATTAAGAAACGTTTTTAAATCCAGATGGGTAACTGACTAGGTTTTTATAGTGCTCAGGGCCATCTTGCCTCGGTGCTTGTGCTTTGTCCCCGTTAATCGCGTCCTTTCCTTGTCACTCTCTGAGGTGGGCCTTTAGCGAGGAAGCTGATGTTCGGGAATGCTAAATGGCTTGCTCGTGACCATGCAGCTAATATGTGCCTGTGGGTGCAATTGCTCACAAATCCCTTTCCACGTCTGCAGGTGGATCTGAGCCGTTCCCTGGGTGCCAGCGTAAAACCCTGGTTGATCAGCTGGGGTGGGTAGGCGCACTGCTCGTGCCACACTGATCCCTGGTGGCTCACTTGCCTCTGAGTTGGAGGGATTGGAAATGCGCTAGAGCACCCGGTGTGTTCATTAGGCTTTGGGCGCCCCTGAGTGTGGTCACTGACATGTCCTTGAGGGGACCCTGAAAACTGTGCCTATGGAATTGTTACAAAAGACGTTGGCTCTTGTGGATCTTCTTCCTAAGCCAGCAAGGGTAATTCCTGCCACTACCCTATGAGGAGGCTCTGTCTTCCTGCCCCTGGGCTGTCAGCCGGGAGGAAGATCACCCTGCAGGGCGCTGTTGTCAGTCGCTCTGTGGACTGCAGCAAGGTCCCCTTGAGAGCTGATGTTCTGTGCTGGTGAGCTGATGCCACGTAGGGCCAGCGGTTGCCTCATGGGTCTGTGTGCGTCGTGGAAGTTTAACAGATGGTCTGCTGAGGATGGTAGAGTGAAGATGCAGCTAATTCTCCTGTTCCCAACTGCTTTTTCTGCTAGAGCACAGCTGCTTTATTTCACCCTGGAAGCTCACAGCTCGCTTACCTTTGCCGTCACCGTGTGATGCTATTCCAGTCTTGTGTCGAGGGGGCCGATGACAGAGCCCGCTCCAGCAGCGTCTCTAGCACCGACGCGTCGCTGCCCAAGCTCTCCCTCAGTCTTTAATCCAAGTTCAGTCCTGGATGTTCACATGAGAGAGATTTCTGTTGCTTATTAGGGAGCTTGGGTAGCATAAAGAATGGTGGTACCAGGTTTTACTTTTGGCCAGTTGGAGAGAGTTCATGAATTATTATTACTATTTTTCTCCCTTTTCTCCCCCAGGCAGCCTCCGGTCAGTGAGTCTCATTGGAGAATGCTGCTGCAAGACATGTTAACCATGCAGCAGAATGTTTACACGTGTCTAGAGTCCAATGCTTGCTATGAGGTAACTCTCCGATGTAGCTTATTTCCTTTTGATTTAGGAATTTGGTCATTACCGATCATTTATTGGAGACAGAGGTGATGAGCATGAGCTTCACTGTAAGTAGTACTATTGAATATTGGCTTGAGAAATGAATGGTTTTAAATTTGAACTTCAGGTTTTTAAATGCTTGAATGAGTATAAAGTATATATTTATGGTTAGAGTCTGAGACCACATACAACTCTCAATAACTCCTTTTTTTGTATCTAATGCAAAACTTGAAATCCAGTTTTATGGGATAAAATCTATATGAACACAGGGTCCAAAACCTGTCATTAGTATGTCCCAAGTAGTGTTTTTAAGCTGGAGTGGCATTATTTTGGTATTTTCCTGTTTCTGATTCTGATTGAAAAATCAGTAGTAAGTATATTGCACTTGAACTAGCTCCTATGTAATCTGTCGTAAACAACTTGACATATTAAATTGTTTTTGTTATATTTAACACCTTTTTATTAGGTTTTGCTATTTCAATGACTTCTGGCCATTAGTTTCTCCCCTGTGAGAAAACATTTGAAAGCATGTTATAACAGTTTTGAAATGGTTCTAGAAGAAAGTAATAAAGATTTGGCAAGCGTACATTGTTAAATATTGTTTAGTACCTTTCAAATTATGCTATATTGTCTTACTGACTTTTGGCGATTCTATTAGGTTTTGATGTGCTTGGAAAATAGTTTAAAAGCTCAGTGGCACAATTTTGAAAATGTTTTATAGCCTATAGAGCAGAAATTTGTATTCTTCATTTTAGCAAACCTTTTACATTCTAGTGTGAGTGGCTTCTGTTTTTCAGCATTGGGCATTAACTCCTGTGGTTTACTTGGATAGACCAAAGGAACAGTGAAACTGTTGCATCTGAGTCAGTTGGGTCACTTGGAGTAAGCCAAGTACACCTGCAAGATATAAGTGATTAGGGTTGCTCACTGATAATATATGCTTTCTGTCACAATATGTATTTTATAGCAGATCCTTTTTAGATATTAACAATTTTATTCTTACCAGTAACTTCAATCAAGACCTTTCTGAAGATAGCTTCCCCAGAAGTCTAGAAACATGAAAATTGGATAGTCTTACTAATTGCTTCTTGAAATCTTTTTTTTTTTTTTTTTATCTCTTCTATTTCTGTGCTATCTTCATCCAACAGTGGCATTCCTGGCAGAGCATTCTTAGGGAAGTTCCAGTACTAATTACATATTGATATTATTAATGTAGGTTTAAAAAGTTTTCTTTAGTACTTTTCTGAAGAAAATAATCTTAATTATAGAAAAAAATTATGTTAATTGATGCTGTTAGTTGCCTAGTAGAATACAGTGATATTTGCATGAATACCTTTTATCAGTGGCTATTGTTTTATTTAAATACTGGGAAATTGCAAATCGGGAAAAAATATTCAGTGTTATGGGGTATATTTTAATTTTAATGGCTAGGTATAAGTGTAATATTTGCAGCTTGGCTACTTCAGTTTGTAAAACTGAATCCAGATGCTTTAAGCAGTTATGAATTATAAGTATTCAAATTTTTATTTTAAAAAATTGAAGTGATTGTAAATAGTTTAAACAGCAGCCTTGTTGAGCATTGGACAGTATGTCTGACAGATCCTGTTTTTAATGAGAATGAACTTTAGATAGTTTACTTAAATAGTCATTGTAGTACAAAATATTATGCTTAATATTGGTTTGTTCAGTTAAATTATTCTTAGAAGACGGATTTTTTAATTGAGGTGAAATTTACATAACATAAAGTTAACCATTGTAAAGTGTGCTTTATTGTCATTTAGTACATTCACAACATTGTGCAAACGCCACCTCCAGGGTGGATGTATTTTTAATGTATTTCATGTGGATATAGAGCCTTCATTTGGTTGAGGATCTGATCCTCCTTTTTACGCACTAATTTCAGGCTCTCGTTTTTGCCCAGATATTTGCAGAAAGCCTCCTGTGCTCCAGTCGTCCTGAGAACATCCGCCTGGCTGGACAGATGATGCACTGCCACGCTGGGCCCGACAGCCCCCTGGCAGGCGCCGCCCACAAGGGGCGGGCCCCCTACAGGGTCCCCTATGAGAGGAGCACCGAGTTGGTGTTGGCCTCTAGCCGGGAGTACTTCAATTCTTCCACCAGCCTCACCGACAGCTGCATGGACCTGGCCAGGTGGGGCCACCTGTGCTCTTCCTGGTGGGGCGGCTGGCCGCCAGAACGCACCAACTCTTTTACCGGTTTTATTCTGTGCCTTGTTAAGTGCGTTGTCACAAGTATAAACTGCTATATGGGCACACTTAGCTATTACTTGAATAGACAAAGAAAGCTGAATTGTGTTACGAATATTCTTCAACTTCTTCGGGACCCTTTTTTCCCAGCACACTTTTCCATGGTCATTTTTGCTGATTATCTGTCAGGTTGTGTCTTCCTCTGCTCTTGGGAGAGATTCAGGTGATAGCCTGAAAATTCCAGTTCTGGCAGTTCCCAGCACATGAGGTGATGCCTGTATCATTCACGTGGTTTCCACTCTGTTTAGGGACATTGGACCTGATTAGGCGATAAAGGTCAAAGTTCCCTTCCAGGTAGAAATTTCTGGACTATGAATTTAGTGCTCCTATTGGCCTGTTGTACTGGAAATTTAGTGCTCATCTTTTTACTATTAATTCTTAGGAGCTTTTGTTACATAGCAACACTTGCCCTTTGCCTGTCTTAAATATTTTAACTGTGTTGCCAAGTTTTTATTATATATGATTTATCTTTTAAATTGCTATCAGAATTTTTTAAAAATTTGATCGTTACTTTTTTCTCTTATGGTTTCGTTCTTTTGTATTCCTTTGGAAGGCTGCTAGTTCCCAAGACCATTAAAATAGTTTTCCATGTTGTTTCTTACTACTTTGATGGTTTTAATTTTACATTGAAATTTTAGGCTCATTTGGAATTTATTTTGATGTAATGATTGTGGAAACTATTTAGATTTATTTATCTCCCAAATGACTAGTTGTTTCAACTCTAGCAAAACTTAAAGGTAACTTTTTTTTTCAGTGATATCTTACCACAGAGAGAATCATGTTTTCTCAAACCATGCTTTTGAATTTGACAGAGTTGTTTAAATGGTTAATAAATTTTTTGTTCTATCCCAAGGGATTGCATTTCAGATGATGAAAATACCAAATACAATACCCTTTGAAACTGGGATTAGTTTGACCTACATCTTTTTCGCAAGTGTTCTCAAATATCATTTTAAAAACTACCCTTCCTGTATTTCCTCTTTATTCCATCCCTTTTTCTTTTCTTTTTTTTTTTTTTTTTTTTAAAGATTTTAGTTTTAGAGAGAGGGGAAGGAAGAGAGAAAGAAAGGGAAATATCACTGTGTGGCTGCCTCTTGTGCACCCCTACCGGAGACCTGGCCCGCAACCCAGGCATGTGCCCTGACAGGGAATTAAACCAGTGACCCTTTGGTTTGCAGGCTGGCACTCAATCCACTGAGCCATATCAGCCAGGGCTAATTAAAATATTTCTTAATTACACTTAAAGTTAGCACATCACTTTCTCTTGTATTTATCTCAGCACTGCATTACCAACTGCTTCTTCCTTTTTGATCAGAAAAATGTCTCGTGCATTTTGTTAGGTTATTCTTTTTTCAGGTTGTCACTGAATCAAGATGTTTCTGTTTTTGCCAGAAGAGCTGAAAATTATCTGCATCCCACCTATGTTTTTGTCCTTTCTAATATCTTGCTTCCTGCCCCGGTACTGTTACTATCAATGTAACCCTGCATGATTCACCACACCTCTCTGAGCTTCAATTCTGGCTTCCTTAAAAAGCAAATGATGATATTTGCATGTCTCACGGGCCTGCCCTAAGGTTTTAAGAAATATAACAGGAAGTAACTGCAGAATACTTGGAAAGTAGTAGGTTTTTTGATAAATATGTGTTGGATCTCATGTTGTTCTCAAGCATATGTTACTGCTCTTAAAAATGTATCTTCTTTCTCTTAGGTGCTGCTTACAGCTGATAACAGATAGACCCCCTGCCATTCAGGAGGAGTTGGATCTTATCCAGGCCCTTGGATTCCTTGAAGAATTTGGGGTCAAGATCCTGCCTTTGCAAGGTGAATTGCCTGCTCAGTGTTGCTCTGTTCACTTATGTTGCAATAATTTCCTAGCATGCCTTTCTAGTGTTTTAAATCAAAGAGTACTTTTGGGTATTTAATCCATTAGCAATAGATCCTGCCCATTTTTTCAAATGAAATTTAAGTGGAAACTCCTCCCCGCCCAAAGAAAAGAAAGAAAACCAACATTTTATCACAGTTTTGTTTTTTGAAATTCACAGGTATGACTTTGAAAGAAATAACATTAGTACCAGCAGGGAGGCAATGAGATAAAAACAAAAATAGAAATTGGGGATTATGGATGAGAATTTCAGATTTACATCAGTTTTGGTATATAATTTATTTCTGTATTTTGTTTCAGTTGCATAGATTTAGAAGTAGTTATACATGAAAATAGGTTTTATTTGTTTATTTTGTTAGTGGTTAACTGCAGGGTATTCTTTAATTAGGTTGATACTGTTATTTTAAAAGAGGTAATGGCAGGAAGTTCCCATTCAGAGTTTATTTATTAGCAATATCTTAACATTGCTCAAGATCTTTTACCTAAATGTAAATGTCAGGTAAATATCAGCCAAACCCAAGTTACTGTCATTGTCTGCTGTGTGCTGTGAGTACAGTGTGCCTGTCCCAGGACCCCTGATCCTTACCTGGCCAGTTGGAGGGACGGTATCTGATGCTCGGACCCTGGACCTCAGCGCCCTAACAAGGAGGGCAGCTTGGTGATTAGTGGTGTGTTTGCCTGGCTGCAGCGTAATCTCCCCTCTGTGTCCTTGACTGTGGAAATGTTTGGAATTGGGGACAGGAAGGTATAGCTGAATTCCTTCCATCTCTCTGAGTTTTGGTAAATTTTCACCGAAATGGTCTTTCCTCTTTTTTTTTTTTTTTCTAAATTCCCAGTACCTTTGGACAAAGATGGTTTGTTTTAGGTTTCTTGGTGTCTTTGTCTTATGTAGTGTTTGTGTCAGGTGGATCTCAGTGGCTATCGTAGGGAGGAATGTATTCATGTGGGTTTCCATTGTAGATTTACTGAAAATTGAAGTTCTGCTAGTCAGACAAATTCATTAGATCTGAAAAGGGAGTATTACTGTTACATTGTTTGGAAATAATTTGTACATGATGGTAAATATCCTGAAGCATCTTAAACAAATATAGTTAAGGTGATTGTTAAATCACTGGGGAATTCTATTTAGTTATGCCATTCATATAATTTTTGAGCTCAGAGCTTCTTAGAATTGTGAAGATTAATTAGAGTTATTAAAAAAGCAGTTTCACCTTATTCTCAAATGTCTTTAATTATTAACTACCTTCCCAGTAGCACTTATGTTTTTAATTGAAGTTTTCAGGTACAGGGGAGTCCAGAGGACTATGAAACTTTTGCTCTTCTTATATCTCTCGTTAGTTCAGGTCATTGTAGCATTGGCTCTGTGTGTGTGTGTGTGTGTGTGTGTGTGAGAGAGAGAGAGAGAGAGAGAGAGAGAGAGAGAGAGAGATACTATATTTTAGCTAGTTAAAATCCAACCAAATTGATGTAGTGCAGGAAATTTTTCTTGCAGTCCCCCAAATGCTACCGAATTTTGAAGTATTAAATGAGCTCTGACTTTTTATGGTGCGCTGTTAGCAGCGTTTTTGCTGGCAATATTTGCACAGCAGCTGACGGGTTTGCCTATCTGCAACCAAACCTACAATCCTGCTGTAGCTTCTGAGAAGTTTCCTAACTTAGGAGTGTCTTAAGAAAGACATTTGCTTTCATGTCTTGACAGCTTCCCAGCTTGATGGATTGATCTGGAGTTTGTATTAGAATGGCTGTCAGAAAATCTTCTGGATGTGGAGACAGAATATTTCCTTTGTATACTACTTGTGTCTGTGCCACAGACACAATTTAAGCTTAAGCGGTTTTTGTATTCGTCAGTGATGCTAGACAAACAAAGTAACTTGGTATTTCAAGATGCATGGTACAGGCACTTTATTGTCATCAGTGGACTATAGTTCATTTTGTCACTTTGTTTTAAAGCCTTCCTTGCCTACCCTTCAGGAGTTACTATTTCTCATCAGAAGAAGACTAGTGGTACTAGCTAAGTTATAATTTCAGCCTACCTTGGTACTCATCGGCTTCAGAACTCGTCAAACCCTGTACTTGTCACATTGTGATGAGAAGAAGGTGTTTTAGCCCTCGGCGCTTGCTTGGGACTCACCGCACTTGCTAGAGCTTGTGAGTCACGATGCCACCATGCAAGAGAAAATGCTTCATCACTCGTTGCTTGCTCAGTACTTGTAGGTTTCATTACTCGTCAGGAGTTCTAGAATGAATTAACGATGAGTACCAAGGTACCACTTGTAATGAGTTAATAGGCAACGGGAACAGAAATATTATGTGCAAATGATTCCTTATGTATAGTTACCTGTGAATTCTTTGTATGTGTGCATGTGTGTGCTTTTCCCTAGTAGGGTTTTTTACTTGTCCCCAGGTTCTTTCTGTAATCGGAGCCAGTTTTCCAGACTTACAGCCTATGGTTAAGCCTGGCCTGGGGTCAGTTTTGCCTTATGCCGTGTAAATGGAAAGGTGTCTTAACTGTTCTTTGTGTTTGAAGTCCATAAGCATCAGCTGTCATTTCTGTTGTTTTAGTTGAAGGTACTTTCTACATGATGGTGGAATTAGTCTTACCTGCCTTCTCGTTCTCCCTCTCTCTTTTCCTCCCACCACCTCTTTAGTCTCTTCACTCCCCTTTCCTTCCATTCAATAAACATTAATTGAGGAACTTTATTCCAGGAACCAACATAATTAAGGGAATAGGCGCACCTCCTGACTTTGAGGGACTGACATACTGATAACAAGACAGAATCACATGGGAGTGTCATGAATGAGCTTAGATGCCAATTCAGCCACTTGGAACTCTGTGACCTGTGGCAACTAAATAAATGTCTTTGAACTTCGCCTTCCTCAGATGGGGATAATAATAAAATATTCCCTAGACAGTCCTGAAAGTTATATCCTGAATCATTGAAGATCCTCACATTAGAGGATCCCATTACTTTAACGAGCATTCTGGGAATGTCAGTAGTAATAATAATAAGAACTAATATTTAAGTGATTTTTATGTTCTATGTATACTTCACATGCATTTATTTAAGTTCCCATGCATACCCTATGAGGCAGTGACTGTTACTGTTTCTAATTTCTAGAAGATGAAAGCAAGGCATGGGGAGGTTAAATAGCTTGCTTAGGTCGCACTGCTAGTTGGAGGTGCAGCTGGAGTTCAGACCTGGGTAGTCTGGCTCAAAAGCCGCGTTTATAAACAGCAAACAGTACTTCTCTGCTGAAGAGGTGCGACAGTATAAAAGATGACTTGCGAAGGAATCTCTGATGTGTCCTCTCACTCACCAACAAAGTGACCGACCGCTGCACATCATCAGCTTCCTCGCCTATACAATTCAGATTTGTGCTTCCACAACGTCACAGTGAACTGTCTATGTAGTGCACCTTCGATGCCACTTAAGAGTGACTGGAATTGATATTTTACATACGCGGTTGTTGGCTGTGCATATGTAAGGTTGTGATGATATGTAAGGTTGTATGGATAGCTAGTCATTTCTGGAATGTGTATGTGGGTGTATGCCATATAGTAGATTTTTCTTTCATATTTGAGATATGATTGCGAGAGCTACAGGAATATGAGGCGTCTTCAAATATTGAAAGTTACATAAATGCACATCCTTTCATGGTCATTAATTTTATTTTGAAAAGGAATTTTAGGAGCAGAAGACCTGTTCCCTTCATGGAAACATAATAACATCTAAATCTTGAATTTATTTAGATAAGAAGCCACAGTTTGAAATATAACGTATCATGTCCTATGATAAGCAGTAAAAGAGAAGTAGTACAGTGATTGTCCAGAGGCTCAAAAGGTAGATAAATAAATAAAGTAAAAAGCCATTTTAACATGGCATTTGTACTCGGTTAGAATCCTACTCTCCAAGTTTATTTACTATACAAGGCATAATCTTAGTTAGTACACCTTGCTCAGAGCAGCAGCAGACAAAGAAGGAGATTTTAGTGTTCCATGAAAAGTAAGTTTAGAGAAAATGATGTTTCATTGTTACGTGTGCGTTTAGTTTTCACCTTGATGCTACTGAGCTAGAAAGAGAATGGTAATAGTAAGGAAATCAGCTTACTAGAAGTTACCTGAGAAGAATGTAAGAATTCATCAAATGCTATAGAAGTATCTGTGAGAACCTCAGGGCTTTATATATGCAGGAAGACAGGTAGAAAGCACCTTTCTCATAATTATTGAATCTGAAATATTGAAGTAGTGATACATATTTTCTAAAAATACACACTAGGAGGAAAAACTTAAGAAACAGTAGATGTTGAGGAAAAAAACAATTTTTTGATTGAAAAAAGTTACCAAAAAGTTTGAAGTATAGTGTATCAGGTTTTGCTCAACTGTGCTCTAGTAAAAAACTCAGCAAATCTCAGTGGTTTACGGTAAGCTTATTTCTCGCTCACAGTCACGTCCTCAGTGCCACTTGGGCAACGTGGCATTCTCCTGGTACAGGGGGATGTCTGTAGTCGGGCCCCTGTTGACTCTTAAGCATTTGTCAGAAGTGGCGTAGGTCACACTTGCGCCCACATTTCATTGCCCACACAAGCCACGTGGCCAAGCCTCAGGGCAGTGAGTCAGGTATTTGGGACGCGAGCGCCTGCGGCGGATACGGGGAATGCTCAGACGGGCCTGCAGAAGCTACGCTCAGATGTAGATCGTGGACGTCGTGCTTGTGGAGTTACCGAAGTCTGCATCAGCTTAGTGTTTTAGAGTCGGGTCCACGGCAGGATTGCTGTACCGGCTGGACCACAAAGAGCCGCCTTGAAGCAGCCCCGTGTACCCTGAAGTAGTTTGGGAGAAGAGGACCTGATGTTTGCAACTTATTCTCAGAAGGTTCAGAAAAAAATAGATGCGTACACGTATATGTATATATATTTGTGTGTGTTTAGATGTATTTGTAGCCGTGTGTGGGTGGGGGTGTGCATGCATGTATCATTGGAGTGATCTGTCTTGGGAGAAAGGTTCGCAACTGGAACAGCGAGCACTTCGAGGACGCCTGCCTCCCGTGTTGGACCGCTGTTCACGGAGATGGGGGGCTGGGCGTTTGGAATGGGGATCGGATTGTGGTGGGGTGAGGCGGGGTGGGGTCCATGTGTGACAGGAAGTATATGAGCTTTCCAAAGAGAAATACTGTCATCTCTAAAAATTTTCCCGAAGACCTGACATGGTGCTGGAGAACGTGACATTTTTTGCCAGCTTCTGGCCCATTCACTGGCTGTTTCAGAAGCATGGTGACAGCGAAGATTCACGTTGGACCTTATTTATTCAGAAGCAACAATAATTTTAAACTGGAGGCGAGCCCAGCTTTCATTTTGTTTGGTTGCCTCACATTGGGAAGGTCGTGACGCCCGTTTGCGACGCCCCGGTCACGAGTCTTTATTCAGAATGTCTCTCTTTGCAGTGCGACTGTGCTCCGATCGGGTCGGCCTCATCAAGGAATGTATTAGCCAGGCTCCCACGTGCTACAGGCAGGCCGCCAAGCTTCTGGGCCTTGCTGAGCTGCTGAGGGTGGCCGGTAAGTGTGCAGTGCTAAACTGCAGAGTATGGTTTCTGTGTTATCCTCCTCATCATCCGAGGCGAACACCAGAATGTATACTTACAGGTGTCAGCATAGCTCTTTCGGCAAAGATTTGTCTTTTCTAGGAAGATTGGCATATTATAAAAACATCACCTGGTCCTCTCCATAGTACTTCCTGAGTGTCCCCCCTTAGTGTGAAAACTAGCTTCTCCTAGAGCAAAGGATTCGCCAGAGAGCAAGGAGGAACCTGCGAGTGCCTTTCATGGCCTCGTCTTGGAAGTCCCATGCCACCCTTTCCACCTCGTTCTGTTTGTTGGAAGTCAGTCACTAACCAGCCTCCACGCAGCGGAGGGGCTTTAAGCTTCACCTTTAGCAGAGAGTATCAAGGAATTTGTGGCATGGTTTAAATTGTATTTCATGTAATTTGTCATCAGTCTTCCCTTCATTGGACCAGACATCGAGCCCTTTTCACCACATTCCTTGCTGTTTTCCCTGAGTCTCATTTTGCTTTGTCAGTAACCTTTTTCTAGACATCATTTTTTCCAGATCTGTTTTTGGCTGTGCTTTTCCTTCTAACCACCTGCTCAGATTGGAACTTTCTAGAATTACAAGCAGTTAAATATTTGTACTTTGGATTTCAAGATGGCTTCCATCTTCCCATAAAAGTTTACAATAAAATGACAGTAGTTCTCATGTTGCATTTTTATACTTATCTAAGTTACTTCTTACTGCGTCCTTTACAGCAGAGATAGGAATCTCATTTTGAACATGAAGAAAAACCAAATGAAGAAGTTAAACAGTTTATTTCTCACTTTGAATCCTTTACTCTTTCACCTTTTAAGACACTGGTTGATGGTCATCAGTGGACCCTCATTTAAAGTCACCTCATTAGGGGCTTTAATTACATCTGTAAAATACCATCACAACACCTGGATTAGTATTTGTAGCCTAGTAGCCATGCTGACCCATGGGGAAAAAATCACAGCTGACCCTTTCATTTTTGATTTAGACTTTTTGAATAAATGCAAACATTTCAAGAGTATTATCTAGGAAATAGGTTTTCTATTAAGTATATATGTGCATTTATTATTGATAAACTTATACATACTGTTCTATTTCCTGTATTACATGTTACTGAAGGGGTAGAAAATTTTTCCCTTCTTTTCTTCTTGGTTGTTTGGCTTGTCTAATAATTAATTTGACATAAAAAAAGATTAACAGGAGAAAAACAAACTTAATTTCATACCTATGGGACCTGTAAATACATGAAATTCAAAGGCAGTCCGGCAGTTGAGGCAATTTACCATCCTGAGCGAAGGAGACCGGAGTCTGGGGCCTCAGTGCAGTAGGGAGGGAGGCAATTTACAGGAAGGTCAGAAGAGCAAATGTTTGGTCAACAAATGTTTGCCGTGCCCTGTGGATAGGCTTCTCTGATAATTGCTTTCTTCCTGGTATAGGCCCCCTATACACAGTCTTTCAGGCAGTTAAGAGGGAGGGAAAAACTCTTCTGAGTCAGCCTGGTCTTGATTGCCGTCAGCTCAAAACAGTCCACGAGCCAAAGTGACACATTGTGGGGTGGCCTCTTCTGTACCCCTTAATGAGTGTACTACAGCATGAATGTGCTCTCATAACATCATGAATCTCCATGCAGTATCTGCTCTTCTGAAAAGAAATTATTTAGACTAGCTTGGGCCAGTACTTAGCTTGGATTTTATTTAAACCTTTGAAGCAGAGAAGGAAGATTTATAGGGACATTTTATTTTTTTCTTTCTTTTCCATTCTGTTCTATTTTCATGGAGACATCTTTTAATAGTTTCATTCAACCTGCACTGGCCCGGTGGCTCAATTGGTTGGAACATCGTCTGTACACCAAGATGTTGCGGGTTTGATTCCCAGTCAGGGCACATACCAAGGTTGGGGGTTCAGTCCCTGGTGGAGGCTCATAGGGGAGGCAGCCGATCAATGTTTCTCTCTCTCACATTGATGTTTCTCTCTTTCTCAAGTCAATAAAATTATATCCTCTGGTGAGGATTAACAACAACAAAAAAAGTTTCATTTAGCCTTTTCTGTGAGATGTATCCTTTTTCCTTCAAACCATTTTATAGCTTAAAAATGCAAAGATCAAATACATCTTTTTTGTTTTTTTTTTCCTTGAAATATGAAAAATAATTTTAAGGTTCTATTACCTCGATAAAATATAAAATATATTTTTTCTTTTTAGCTTAACTATACAAATTGTCTTTATTGTAACTCTGAATTACTTGTCTTATAATTGAAGACTGTATTCTGAATTGACTCTATGCCCATTTCATTGATGATTTTTTTGAGCCTCTATTATGTGCACAACATGGTGCCAGGAACTGAGACTTCAACAAGGAAGTAACCCCTGTCCTCCAAGAGCCTGAATTCCCTTGGAAGGTGTAGATTGTTAAACAGATAGCGGCCATAAATTGGCATTCAGCGAGTGAAAAGTTAAGGACCATGTGTGAAGCACACCCAGACCACGTGCTTTATATGAAGAAAGTGTGGAACTGTCAAAGAACACAGTGTCGTCCAAGCTGACTTCTAAGAATGTTCCTGGGAAAGTAATTTAAGACATTTGTGTTAATGTAAGCTGAATTTGGCAAGTTGTCTTATAGTCTAGATATTCACTATGATAAGTAAAAGATTAGTACTGTCAATAAAAGTATAAAATTATTTCTATTTTACTTTGTATTTAAAATCCCCCCCTTATATTTGTCATTTTTAAATGATAATTAGAAACAGAAACTTCAAAGGGAAGAATACAAAAATGAAATTTTTTTTTAGCAAAAAAGTTCGAAGTCTTTGTTGGGAGGAAAACGCTTCTTCTCCTTACTTAGGCTGAAACGGCTGGTCTGGGTGTGCTGTTAATGATCAATGGCTTAGGGGACCGAGACCTAATTGGATGATTAATAAGCAGATTAGAAGGTGAAAGTGGCTGTGACCCTTTGTCCTGTACTTTTTAAAAATCAGTCTCATCTTTTATTTTTTACTCTATTTGAATGATGTTTTGGCGAGCTCTTTTATGAATTGATGCTGTCAAAAATCAGTAAGTCATTTGTATGTGTTTGTAGGCGAAGACCCTGAAGAAAGGCGTGGACAGGTTCTGATGCTTCTAGTTGAGCAAGCGCTCCGTTTCCATGACTACAAAGCAGCCAATGTGCACTGTCAGGAGCTGATGGCCACAGGTGAAGTAGGCAACCACTGAGCACTTTGTTCATGTCCCCTTTACATCATGCAAGATGGGAAAGGTCTGTTCTGGAATCATTTGGCCTGATTGCTAAGCCAGCCATATTGTGTTCATAAGACTTGAAAAACATTTTGTTTTCAAAATGTAGGCTTGATAAGTATATAGGCCATGCGCTCATACATTTATATAGATACCTTAATGGATTCAAGGATTGTATTTTACCTGAGATTCTGGTTGCTTTCCATTTCCTGTAAGAACAATTTTATGTAAAATATTTAATGCCTTATTGTGTCTTTGTTATTTAAAAGAAAACCTAAATTTTTGAAGTATCTACAATTTGTGACTGTATAGTCAACATTTCTATTTAATTCTTTTTTAGGAGATGGCATAGTGCTTTTTAAGCAAATATTGAGAAATTCGGAAGCAGTTTGTAACCCTAAAGTTGTCTGTATTGAAATTCTAATTTGAGTCTCTGGAAGATAAGCAGGTTTTATTGTAGAATAATTTCTCTATTATAAAACATAACACATTCCCCAAGGGATAGGAAGTGATATCCCCTTATCCTGGGCTCTGCACTGAATGATCCATGTTTTGTAGCTGTTTCCAAATGTACGGAAGCCAAGCACAGTTCTACCCATAGTCTGTACACTCACAACAGGCAGTGAACAATGCTTTGCTTCACTTCCTGATAGTTCATGGGGATGTGTGCGTCTTGTATGTATATTGTTAAAGAAAACATTGTTCTGATACGTGTTAAAAATGGTAGGAAAGACTTTATTCAGCACTTTTTCAGTAGATGTTAAGACCGTTGCACTAGGGGACAGAGGTCGAGCTGAACTCTGAGAGCAGGAAAGGCAGCTGGGGGCTTGCAGCCGAGGAGCAGAGTGTGGGGCGCAGTGGGGGACAGGGCAGCGTGATGAGACATCAGGGCTGGCATGGCGCCCTTGCTCAGCCGGCCTGGCAGGGTCTTGCTGAAGGCGGCCAGGGGGGTCAGATGTCAAGGGCGAGGGCTGAGGAATTCAAATCAGATGTCAGAGGTGTTTAGTAATAAGGGTGGGGGGTTCCCTCTAAACCGACTACAGGATTCTCGCTAAAATTAGCTCTGCAGGTTCAGCAGGGACTGGGCTGGGGCGTAGGCCTCGGTGGACAGGGTTCGGAGGAGCCGGAGTATGGTTTGGTCGAGGAGAGTGGCTTTGTCAGTACAGCTGGGAAAATGTCTAAAATTCGGGGGCAAAACCCACTGGTTTACAAACTCAATGTTAGAAAATTGTTTTCATAAAAAAGCCATTTTCTGTTATATTAATCAAGTGATTTCCCAACATTAAGTTCAGAATAATTATGACTTTCTGGAAAAACATTGTATTACTCTAAAATTGTTTATTTAAAGAGCTTTGTAATAATTTTTTTGCTGTTAATGGTGGTGCCTGGATTAATATTTACTTTATATATTTAGAGAAATTATTTTAGACTCAGGCCGTTGTACTTAGGGAAAAAACCCTGCTTTCAAATTGGAACTCGAGAATGAGAATAAACATACAGTCAAATCTCAGTTCTCAAATGTCTCCCATCTCGAATATTTTGGTTCATGACCAAGTTGTTCATGGAAAATAATGTGCCTCTTGTCAGACAAAGAACAGAATGTCGTTCTGGACAGACAACCCTTACATGCTGACCACTGTGTGATAAGCCACTCCCCTCTCAGACCACAAACAAAGGGGATTCGGGGTTCGAACAAATTGCGTCTCAAACAGCCTTCCTGAATGAATTAAGTTTGACAGCCAAGGCTGCACTGTGTATTTTAAGAATTCACAGTATAAAAATTGTGTAGGGAAAAGATTTGTGCTAGGAGTCAGGGCTGGCTGCATTCTTGGTATGGTCCTTGGATATCTGTCTTCTTCTATGAAGTGAATGATTCTGTATTGCTGTGTAGAATAATTTCTCTTTATTTAGCACTTTGCAGTTTACAAAGTCTTTTAAATGCTGATATTATTTAATCCTTTCAACAACCCAACCAGTAAGGCACTATTATTGTTATTGTCTCTTTGTAGTAGTAAAGAAAGTGTGAGGCTTGGAGCTTTCTCAAGCTCACACAAGTGTGTGTAACAGATTTGGGCTAAAGTCTTAGGTTTTCTGAGATCAGACATCCAGGCTTTTACTCAATATCAAGTGGATTATTTGTCGTCATTGTCAGGTAATCTAAAACATAACAGACTTTATCAGAAACACTTGTGTGGATAATAAACCAATGTAGTATTTCTTTTCTACTGTAGATCCTTATGTGTTTCTGGTTATATAAAATTATGTCTCGCTAATAACTTTGATTTTGCTTTGGTTACACAAAACTGGAGCAGAAAGCCATTGAACTTCTCATGTTAGATTGGAGATTGTTCAGTTTTTTGTTCTCATTTCCAATTTTGCAGGTTATTCTAAAAGCTGGGACGTTTGTAGCCAGCTGGGACAATCAGAAGGACACCAGGACCTGGCCACTCGTCAGGAGCTCATGGCTTTTGCCCTGACGCACTGCCCGCCCGGCAGCATCGAGCCTCTTCTGGCAGCCAGCAGCTCTCTGCAGACAGAAGTGAGTGCGCCTGATGAAGTGAGGCTGAACTGATGAAGTGTATTTTGTTGGGTGTGTGGATCTAAGCTTTGCGGTCGTTTTAAAAAATAATAGAGGGAATTAAATTTATGGAAGAAAAATATCTTGTTACTCATGTGAAAAGGAGTTTGAAGATCTCAGGATGTAAAATAGTGTCTTTTGGCTTCATTATAGTAAGGAAGAAAGAATACAAAGCAGAGATGAGAAAAAAAGAAAGTAATATTAGGAAATAAACTATTGAATGTAATGGGAAAATGTAGTGTTGTCAAGAATAACACATAAGAAATGGTCATGTAAAATATATTCAAAATAAATTAAAACCAGTGGCGGCACTGTCCCTTAGAGGTCCTTTGGAAATGGCAGGGGAGTGGGCTTTGGGTGGGGAGATGCTAAATTTTCTAAAATTCACAGGCTAGACCCACATAAGAGAGAATACTGCTCTTGCTGGGAAACACCATTCAATACAGGATGAGATTCTGGAATTGGCCCTTGCATATCCTACTCACTCATTACATCCTTTGCCAGGTTGCTCACAGCTGATTCCCAGTCTGAAACTGTCACGTGCCTGTGAAGCTGGTGCTGGAACCCGCAGGTCCTGCCCCCAAGGCTGTTCACTAGGACCGTCCGTGTCCCCTCCAAAGAGCGCTTTTAAATTCCCAGCCTGCATTGTGAAGAGAGGAAGCTTAAAGACAACTTCTTTATCATATGCCATGTTCTTTTTTCAGATTCTTTATCAAAGAGTGAATTTCCAGATCCATCGGGAGGGAGGAGAGGGTGTCAGTGGTCCGCCATCACTCAGTAAAGCTGTACAAGAGGTGAGTTAGGAGGGGCGGGGCGGTTCGAAAGGCGGCTGTGAGTGGACTGAAATGGGAGTCGCCTGACCTGGTGTATGAGACGGTTGGGGTGTGTGTGTGTCTTTCTTTTTCTTTATGCCTCTAAAGACTGTCTTTCTTTTAAGCTTTTTTGGTGTGTGAAATATGCAATGTGGTTATTTGTTGTTACTGCTGTATAGACATTAATTGCAGTGTACATATGTGACCGTTTACCATCTCATGTTGATTGACAGTTTTCAGCTTTCGCCTCGCAGAACGATGCCGCAGCACCATTTTGTACATGTCTCGAGTGCACATGAGCACACCTTTCTTGGCATCTATCTGCTTAGCCCTGGAAGTGTGTGTCCTCAGCCACGTGTGTGTCCTGTGTTTAGTTAGGAGTTGGCAAATTTTCCCAACCTTCAAGGTCTATTACAAGACCTCCTTTTAATGAGATCTTTTTTCCAAGTCTCATATCTTTTGAGCCTCTGATCCTTTCCCACGTGTCCAGCCACATCCCATATTTTGTCTGTCCCTTCAGCCTCTTTTCCCGCCTGGCGGACCTGTGCTGGCTTCCAGTTGTGCTGAACCTGCCAGCATTCTCTGCAAAGACTGCCTCACATCTTTGGGGCCAGACTTTTCTCCCTGCCTCTACTGTCCTTGCCTTGCGCTCTGGTTATCCCATCTACAGTATCATTTCCTTAGGAGAGGCTTTCCTCAGTCCTCTAGCGGCCCCCTCTTCTTTAGCCCCAGACGCTCTGGCGTCGCTGTGCTGGCTCGGGAGGGCGTGTATGGTGGTGTGCGGCGACAGGAAGCATGGCATGTACCTTTGTGTTCTCTCACAGCCTGCTGGTCGCCTGGTGGGTGCCTCGGAAATGTTTGATGAACCTCAGTTGTAAACTCCCACTATATATAAAAAACCCCATGGTCAAAATAAATTAGAAAGTAGATTTTAGCCTAAAAGTCAAAGGGATTTCCTGTTACCGCATCTGTGTGTGGAGCGGCGCCCGAGCTCCAGTTCTGTTTCGGCCGTTGTAAGGGGCCTGCCTCTTCTCTGGTGAGTGCCGACCCGCGAAGTGTGTCAGCCGGGTTCGGCTCCACAGCTTACGCTGAATCCCCGCCTTTCTTTCTAAAATCCATCAAAGCCTTAGCGGCTTTTGGGTTTCCTATTTCCTGCTCCCACACTGAATTAGAAAGTGTCAGCGTGACGACTTGGTGGCTTCATTGCAGTAGGACACGCTGGGCCACCGCAAGTGGGCACATGTTGCTGCATGAGAATCTCTTTATAAATGAAGGAGACCGCAGTCCTCTACATGTTCTGCTTAGCAAGGAAGAGGGGTTCGTTCAAAACGATGGTCTCACCCTCCCTTCTTTAGCTCCTTCCTTAAAGGCTTTCCTGTCCTCTGTCAGCAAGTGCCTATAGATAGATCTCGATCTCCTGAAGTGCTAAGCCAAACCTCAGCGAACACATTACGGCCTTGATTCAGGAAGCGCATTTCAGAATATTACAGCTACTATTATTAGATGACAGTACAGTGCCTAGCTGTGAGATGCTCTTGTTACACATTAACAAACATAATAACCGCATTAAATTACAACTCATAAATGAGAGCTGACTGTATGTATAATCTGCTTAATGCTCAAGACTTTCATTGCTAAGTTGTGAAAATAATGATTTTTATTTATATATCCCAGCAAAGTAAAGATGTAATTGCTATGCAGCAAGTAGCATTTGCATTAGTACAAGTGGAGCCTACAAGGGTGAAGATATTGGCTGTTGTTCCTATGAACAAGATATTTGTTTATAAACAGAACAAAATGCATTGTGAAAAACTACCAAAATTACAGTTTTCCAGTTTCTTATTAATGTTGGTTATTATGATTTTAGATGTAACAGTATTCTACCAGTTAGACTATATTAATGTTTTCTTTAGCTAGTATTATTATATCACTTAGCCAATGGTGTTTTCCCCAGATAAATCTAATTAGAGTTAGAAATGGATTATATACAAGGTTCCCATTAAAAAATCATTTTCACTGTGGGAAAACTTGTTATGAACATTTTAAGTGGCTACAGATTTATACAACTGGACTAATTAATGTTTAGAACTGGGGCATGAACTAAGCAAAGAGCTATTTTGAATTTTTGCAAGCATCGATTAGAAATATTTAAATAAAAATGAGCAAAATGGCAGTTGTATTTAAATATCACGGACAATCCTTTCTTTATCCATTCACCAGTCAATGGATATTTGGTTTGTTCCCACTTTTGAGCTATCATGCATGAATATCGCTGTTACGAGTCTTGGTACAGGAATGTGTTTTGATTTCTGGCCTACGTATGTAGAAGCAGAAGTGTTGCATTGTGAGGTATATGTTTTCAGAAACTGCCAGTTGTTTACCAAAGTGGCAGCAGTATTTTACTTCTCCCACCAGGAAGCATTAAAGTTCCAGTTTCTCCATATCCTCCCCAACACTTGCTATGAGGGGCTTTTTGATCAAAGTGATTCCTGTGGGTGTATGGTAACTCATTATCATTTTGGTATGCATTCTCCAAATAGTTAATGGCAGTGAGCAGCCTTCTCATGTCCTTCTTGATCACTCCTATACCTTCTTTGGTGAAATGGCCGTAAATATTTTGCCCTTTTTGTAACTGGGTTATTTGTGTGTTCTTATTGTTACTGAAGGTGGACCCGTTGTGGGGTGGGCGCCCAGATACTATTACCAAAACAACGCACCGCCCACCCATCCCACCCCACCCCAGGGTCCCTCTGTTCTAGGTTCTTTGCTCACCACCCCTAGAAATTATGGCTCTGAATGGCAGAGTTTGGTGAAAAGGAAAGGAACTATTATTCAAAAGTTATACAGGTTTTGAGTAATGGCTAAATGCCACTGTTAAATCTCAGAATCCCTTTAAAACACCCACCAACACACCCCTGCCTGCCTTTCCTCCCTCGGCCCAGTCAGGCCAGTCACGGTACCGTCCTGCTGTTACTGACGTGCACGGCGGCTCGGGGGCCCTGCTCCACTCCCGCGAAGCTGGCCTGTCGCTGATGCGCACAGCGGCTCGGGGGCCCTGCTCCACTCCCGCGAAGCTGGCCTGTCGCTGATGCGCACAGCGGCTCGGGGGCCCTGCTCCACTGCCGCGAAGCTGGCCTGTCGCTGATGCGCACAGCGGCTCTCGGGGGCCCTGCTCCAGGTCTCCCGTGCCCCATGCCGGCCTGCTTTGTGGGGGGGGGAGAATATCCCATAATTTTCTCAGCCACCCCACATTCTGAATCCCGTTACAAATCGCCCCTTTGGGGGGCTCCCTGGCTGGACCACGTTACATTATTACTGAGTTGTAAGAGTTTTTAAAATTCTGGATACGAGTCCTTTATCATCTGTATGAATTGAAAATATATTTCTCTCAGGGTTTGACCTGACTTTTGACTTCCTTAATGGTGATTTTTGAAGTGCAAAAGCTTTTAAAGTTGCTGAAGTCCCTTGTATCGATATTTTCTTTGATTGTTTATGGTTTTGGTGTTGCACCTGAGACATCTGTGCCTCACTCAGGGTTGTGAAGATTTACTCCTGTGCTTTTTTCCTAAGAGTTTTATACCTTGATCTTTTATATTATTAATGAATAAGTAATAGTAAGAAGCCCCTTTTTATATGAAATAAGTATAGACTTGAACTGTCCACATACAAAAAAATGCATGTAGAACTTTACCTCCTATCATACACAGACATGAACTCAATAGAATCATATGTTTTGTTTTATTTCATGAGAGCTTGTTGCTTCTTATAAAGGATTTTAAATCTCGTATTTAGTATGCACAAATATAAATATTTTGAAGTTTTAAATGAAATAATTTCATCTGGAGTGGGTTTGTGTTATAACTACTGCTTTGCTGTCTCTTTATGCCTGTGTTTGGGGATTTTGGTTTGAGGGCTCATTTGGAGGCATCTCACCGGTGTAATTTTTACCTCCGCAGACCCTGGGCACAGAGACTGAGCTCCTGTGGTTCCCCTCCATCCCCTGCCCCCTCGCAGACCCTGGGCACAGAGTCTGAGCTCCTGTGGTTCCCCTCCATCCCCTGCTCCCTCGCAGACCCTGGGCACAGAGACTGAGCTCCTGTGGTTCCCCTCCATCCCCTGCCCCCTCGCAGACCCTGGGCACAGAGTCTGAGCTCCTGTGGTTCCCCTCCATCCCCTGCCCCCTCGCAGACCCTGGGCACAGAGACTGAGCTCCTGTGGTTCCCCTCCATCCCCTGCCCCCTCGCAGACCCTGGGCACAGAGTCTGAGCTCCTGTGGTTCCCCTCCATCCCCTGCCCCCTCGCAGACCCTGGGCACAGAGACTGAGCTCCTGTGGTTCCCCTCCATCCCCTGCCCCCTCGCAGACCCTGGGCACAGAGACTGAGCTCCTGTGGTTCCCCTCCATCCCCTGCCCCCTCGCAGACCCTGGGCACAGACTCTGAGCTCCTGTGGTTCCCTCCATCCCCTGCCCCCTCGCAGACCCTGGGCACAGACTCTGAGCTCCTGTGGTTCCCTCCATCCCCTGCCCCCTCGCAGACCCTGGGCACAGACTCTGAGCTCCTGTGGTTTCCCTCTGTCTCCTGTTCCCTCTGTGCCTCAGAGCGGAGCCCTGTGCTGCGGGAGCTTTTCACTGGGGACCCTTCCCCCTTGCAGTGCTGGGGATGTGAGAAGCCCAGACTGGAAGCCCTGGAGGGATTTGGCCCAGTTCCTTGGGGCTCTGTCTTTGTTCTCCGCCTCTGAAGGCGGCAGCTTAATAATATAAAGACAGAGCCCCAGACAGGGAGCCTGCCCAGTTCTCCCTCTTACAGGGATGCTGTTGATTCACAGCTTCTCTGAACCTGGGCTCCTGTCAGCCATTGGCAGCCTCTGAATTCTGAGCCTCCTAATGTTGAATTCTGTGGAATTTGAGTATCTTCTGGCTCTTTTTTTCCATTATTGTCAGTGTTTTGGAGCACCCTGAGCATATTGAAACATGAATTCATTG